GCCCCCACCCAGTTTCCAGCGCGTCACCGCCCACTGCACTCAATACTCCTGACTTCATTCCTCTCCTCAAAACCTGCTGCCTGTTACAGGGACTCTCAGGGGAGGGCGGAAAAGTAGTTTATCAGAGTGCGGGAGGGGGGTTGTAACTCCGAGCATTTTGAGAATTCAGGGCTCTTGGACGTCTCTTAGGCCGATTTACAGGAACGCACGCAGTTCCGCCGGCTTTGCGCGGCTGAGAATTACTGGCTACGGGATCGAGTCCAGCTCCCTGGCCCGGCACAAGAAGGCCTCGAGAAGGTGCCGCACCCGCCCCGACAACAGGGCGCTCATCACCTCCCCAGCCCTCACCTCTCGGCCGCAGCTGCTCCCGCCTCTCAGGAGCAGGTGCAGCTCCCAGGCAGGGCGCCTCCTCATTCTCCATCTGGAGACTCCCACTGAAACACCACCCGCCACCGCCGTCCGCACACTCGAGGGCCCCTCCGGAGAACGCTGGATTATAAATAAACACGGGCTCCTCCGTCCTCCGCCGGGCAGGGGCCCAGCTCTATCTCAGCGGATCCAGCCAGCAGCTCGACCAGGGGATGCTGAGGATTCGCAGACGACCTCGCGGGGGGCGCAGCCCGGGTCACGTCAGGAGGGGAGGCCCGCGCGCGGGGCTCCGGAACTTAGAGCGGAGGGCCTGTTTCTGAGCACTGGGGGAGATGGGGGCCTGGACGCCCCGAGAAAGGGAACGAGGCAGAGAGCCCCGGGGAGGGGGCGCGCGAGCGGCAGAGCCGGGGGCTACCGAGGGGCGCGGAAGGGGGTGGGCGAGGGGGACCCGGGAGGACAGCAGGGTCCACACGCGGCGGGTCGGGGGCCCGGGGCGCAGGGAGCGCAGGGCGCGCGGGGCTGGGGAGGGAGGTGGGGCGGGCCCGGGACGCGGACGGGGGCGGGGAGCTGGCGGGCGGCCGCGACCTACCTCCTTGTCCGGCACCCACTGCGGCTCCTCCAGGCCGAAGGGGCTGCCGAAGGCGCGGTGCTCGGGCACCATGCGCAGGCCACTGGGGGAGCGCACCAGCTTCTTGGCGTCGCGACGCGCGGCCACCTCGGAGGACATGACGCCGCCTCAGCGCTCGCCCACCGCCCGCACCCGCGCGCTCTCCGCTCCTGAAGCCCCACCCCACCTGCGCGGCTGACAGCAACCGTGCCCAATCGCCACGCCCGGCTCGGAGCGCGGGCCAACCGGCGCCCGGGCTCCGCCCCATCGCTGCCCTCTCCAATCCGCGCAAGGGCACTTCCCCTGCCACCCTGCTGTCGGTCACCAATCGGCGGTGAGGGCCGGCCCTGGCGCGCTCCGCCCCCTCGAGGCGACTGAGACTTTGGATTGGTCAGTTAGTCTGCGACGTGGGCTATGCTTTCTCTCTGATTGGCGTATCCGGCTCAGGGCGCCCGGCGCTCATTGGAAGAGGAGGTTGTGGGGGGCGGGACGGCGCGAAGAGGCGTGTGGAGAGCGCGCGAGGTGAAAGCGGCCGGGTGGGGGCCGCGAGCGGGGGGTTCAGGGAGGATTCTGGGGTACGGAAGTGGAGTGGGGATGGTAAAGGGAGGCTGGGGGTGCCGGGGGGCAGGGGCGGCGGAGGTGGAGTAGGGGGTGTATGGGGTGGGGGGATGAAGGTACAGCGTACAGGCTCGGTGGAGGCCGGGCGCGGACGGGGCCAAGCTGGGCGCGTGCCCAGACCTCCTCCGGGCGCCCGGTGGGGACGGCGGGATCATCGATGCGGGCAGGCGGGCGGGCCAGCAGAAGGGACAGCCGGAGCAGAGGTCCTAGCGGGGTCCTGGCAGTGGGAAGGAGCCTGGGCCAGTGCAGCGCGGGCTCGTGAGCCGGGGTGGGATGGCTCATTTGGGGGCTATCACGCCGCAGGGTTTGGAGGAGGCTGCCCAGCTCCTGGGCCAGTTTGGGTTATGGCAGCCGTCCAGGGACTGTGGGGTGGGAGGAGAACCGGGACCGTGTGAAGTTGCGATGTTTTAGGGGCGAGGACAGGGCCGGGTCAAGGGTGATGAGTGGACAACCACGGAGATGAAGCGCACTGTGGGAAGAGCAGATGTGCATGGATAGCAAAGTGAGTGTGCAGGGCGCCCAGGTCCACCCGGAAGGCCAAGGCTGGGGTCCGCTGGACATCCAGGTCTGGGGGAGTCATTGGGAAATAGGGCGTGCTCAAAGCCGTGGGGCATGATGGCTCAGGGACTGAAAAGAGAGGGAGTCCTCAGAGGAAGAAGAGGGTCCTGAGAGTGGAGAGGGCCCCCGGGGTCCAGGCTGGGCAGTTCTGGAGGAACCACAGTGGTGTCCCCGGGCGTGGAAGAACCGGCTTGGCCACCCAAGGTCACTGATAATGAAAGCTCCCTCTGGGCAGCTCTAGGATGAAGGAGAGCTCATGGCCCCCTTCTGGGAGGGGGAGCAGAGAAAGAAGGTTAATCTTGAGAGTGGGCTGGACACCCCCAGGCAGGTAAGCCTCTGGATAATTGAGTTTTGCAGTGTGGACACTGAGCAGTTCCCGCTGGATTTGTTAACAGGCAGGCCATGTAAGCTCATGGTCAGGCTCATATAGGTCAGGAGCTTAGAATATGCAGTGTGGACCTGAATCCCAGGCCACCCACTTGCTGGCTGTGTGACCTTAGCTTGTCACTTAGCCACTCTTGCTTCTGTTTCCTTGTCAGTGAACAGAGATCATGACATTGCTGTGGTAAGGTTTGAGCGAGTTCATACATGTCAAGTGCTTAGAACAGTCCTGGGGACGGACTGTGTTTGATAAATGCCAACGCTCAATGGTCGTTACGTTTGCTGATTTTAGGGCAGCATCAGTGGAGCTGCACGTACCTTGCCTGAACTTAGCTCTGAACTTGGCACAAGAAAGAAAGATAGTTTCATTTGTGAGGGATTTGGCCAGCGTCTCCTCCAGCGCAGTCAGTGCTGTTCCCATGAACCCCCTGACAAACCAGGTGAGGCCACTGATTCTCCTTTGACAACTTATTCTTTTCCTGGAGTTGATATTTCTTTTTCACTTGCTGTCTGTCCTCAGGAATCTAACCTCTTTTCATGCACCACCAGCTCTAGCTCTGCCAGCATCTTCCGTACAGCCTCAGGGCACGTTCTGAGCTGGTGCAAATCCCCATTGGCCCTCCTTTTGTGCAGCTGGTCCCGGCACCCCAGGTTCGGGCCACCTCCCACCTTCTGACTGTCACCCAGCCCTCCAGCTTCCCTTCTGCTCCGATTTGCAGTCCTGGGGGTCACCGGGGGTCTCTGTGTGTCTCCTCTCCAGCCTCAGCAGTGTTTACTGTCAGCCCTGCCCTGAGCAGCCAGCCTGGGAGCCCCCCGTTCCAGGCAGAACACGGGACCAGCCTGCTGGCTGGGAAGACCCACTGGCCAGGGCCTGTGAGTCTGGGCAGGAAACCAGCCCGTGGAGCCCCAGCTTCCTCCTGCCCAGCAGCTGCCTCCCAGGGTGTGGTGATCAAATGGCCCAGTCGTGCCCCGGTATCAGGCTGCTGCGGCCACCCCTGGAACTTGTACTGTCGGTTCTGGACAGCCTGAGCCTCGCCAGTGTCAGGCCTTGGTCTCCCTGACCAGCCTGTGCGAATGTAGGAGTGCAAGTGACCTGGTTCTTGAAGCTTCAAAAACAACCCAGTATTGTCCAAGTCACTACAGTATTCTAAGCATTGCAAGGCCAAGTCCACAATTGCGTAACCTTCCCCTCAGCTGAGGCACTGGGACTTGGCGAGGCACAGGGAGGGAGCACTGGGCAGCTGCTGGCCTGGGCGTTCCCGTACACCCTGCTGCATTCCCGACCTAGCTGTTTTGGGCGGCCTCAAGGGGAATGCAGAATGGCTTGCTGGAGAGCCCCGGGGTGACCCTGGGCTGAGTCTGTGGCAGCCAGCCACGGTGGGAGGTGGGAAAAGCCAGGTTTCTCCCCTCAGCAGGGTCAGGCTCCTGTCGTCCACTGCCTTTAGTGCTCGGGCCATGGTAGGGCTGCCAGCTCCCCTTCCTGGGAGGGGCCACCACAACATTACTGGCTGAGTGAGGGGTGGGGGCTGCAGGGCAAGGCTCGCCGCCTCCCACAGCCAGGCCGGACACAGTCTCTATTGTTCTCCACTGAAACAGCTTGTGGTCCTGGAGGTTCCAACTCCCTGAGCATCCTGCAAGACCCAAACTCACTCTTTCCACTCTCCAGATTCCCCGTGGAGAGATATTTAAGGGAAATTAAACTAGAGAATGCAGGGGCCGGCCCCGTGGCTTAGCGGTTAAGTGCCGCACCACTTCTCTGTCCATGCTGAGGCCGCGTCCCACATACAGCAACTAGAAGGCTGTGCAACTATGACATACAGCTATCTACTGGGGCTTTGGGGGAAAAAAATAAATAAACAAAAATTTAAACTGGAGAATGCAAAGGAATTCGAGTGAGCCCAACACGCATGGCTCTCTGACTGGACCCGTTGTCCTTGCCGGGAGAGGTGGGTTGAAGCAGAACACGCACCTGGACGCTGGGCCCCGGGCTGGGACTCAGGGCTGTTCTGACACTTTCTCAGGGGCCGAGATGGGATGGCCGTGTGTTGTGTTGACCTTCAGAATGTGGGAGGGTGGGGGGGTGGATTCCTTGCAATGCATCCATGTGTGGATTGAGTCCAAGGTTTCTGGGCCGGCCCCGTGGCTTAGTGGTTAAGTGCGCGTGCTCTGCTGCTGGCATCCTGGGTTCGGATCCCGGGCGCGCACCGACGCACCGCTTCTCCGGCCATGCTGAGGCTGCGTCCCACGTACAGCAACTAGAAGGATGTGCAGCTGTGACATACAACTATCTACTGGGGCTTTGGGGGAAAAAATAAATAAGTAAAAAAAAAAAAAAAAGGTTTCTAAGTTTCCAGATAATTTCTAGATGTAAATTGCTCCAACAGAAGTGTTGCCCTAGGCTTACTTACCTCGATGGTCTTCCTGGTACAGTGAAGACACTCCTCCCACCTCTGAGCTGTCACAGAGGGGCTGCACACCCGGCTGCTGGTACTCTGCTACCCTCGGCTCCCAGGCTGTTCGAGTTGACAGCAAGTGTGTCAGGATTTGTGTCCCTGGGAAGTGAGTCGTCTTTGTGGTCAACCCATTGAAGACATGGATTTGGATCAGTTGGACCTGAATCCGAGAATTATTGCTGCAATTAAGAAAGGTACGTTTATTGACATTTATGTAACGTGTGAATGTGCATACATGTGCTTTATGTAAAGCAGTTAACAGAAGGTCGCTGGTCCCGGGCGCAGCCCCCAGCCAGTTGAGCCTGATCAGTGCCCTGATGCTGGAGTGCGCTGCTTGTTTTCAGTTGTGTGTGTTCTTAACTGAAAGGACTTTTTTTTTAAGTTAATTTTATTTTCATCAAAGTAATACGTGCGTATTATCTAAAAAGTAAAATGGCACTGCTGGGCACTTAGGAGTCTTTAGGCGATTTTTTTGTTTTTACATGTGGGTTCCTAAATAATGTGCCTGTGTTGCTGTGTTTGATCTGTCCGTGTTATCGACTGTTCACAGACTTCCCGTTACGGGGAGAGGGCTGGCTTGCGTTCGCCCCCATGCCCCTACTTCCTCCGTCCCCTCCCCCCACAGTTGCAACACAGTTTGGGTCATGTCAACCGTCAGGGTTGTGACAGGGGACATAATGGCCGTCGCTGACCCAGGGGGTTATGACTGTTTCCTGTCTTGTACCATCTTTGGTTTTTCCCCCAAAGTTAGTATTGCCTCCTTTTTTCACATGCTACGTTTTCTGTGTACTTCTTGCTGATTTTCCCATGTCTTCTAGTCGGTCTGTCAAGCACCATTCGCTCTTTCCTAAACACAAAAGGGGTGGACGGCTCACCCATTCTGTTTCCTGGTGCATCCATCCCCAGCGCCCCCTGCACGGGCTGCTCCCCGGGCCAGCTGCGTGGCTGGGAACCCCGTCTCGTCTTCCCTGCCTCCCGGCCTATCCATTAGGGATGCTTCAACGTTAGGACGCTCGTTGATCACATAACGTGGACCCCGAGTGCACGGGGCCGGTGCCACAGCCTGGTGACATCCGCTCGTCCACCCTCGGCTGTTGGTTTTTCAAAGAGCACGTCAGTGGTTTTGTTGTGTTTTTCCTTTCCTTTTTTTTTTTTTTTGTGAGGAAGATCAGCCCTGAGCTAACATCCATGCTAATCCTCCTCTTTTTGCTGAGGAAGACCGGCTCTGAGCTAACATCTATTGCCAATCCTCCTCCTTTTTTTTTTCCCCCCTTTTTTTTTCCCCCCAAAGCCCCAGTAGATAGTTGTATGTCATAGCTGCACATCCTTCTAGTTGCTGTATGTGGGACGTGGCCTCAGCGTGGCCGGACAAGCAGTGCGTCGGTGCGGCCCAGGATCCGAACCCGGGCCGCCAGCAGCGGAGCACACGCACTGAACCGCTAAGCCACAGGGCTGGCCCTGTTTTTCCTTTCATCCAGTCTGAGCGCCTTTGTGTTGTAACGGGAACATTTGGTGCGTATGTGTCTAAGTGATAAATTCCTGGTAAATTTGGGTGTAACTCGCCCCTCTTGTGCTGAGCTGTGTGTCCTCTTTCTTTGTTGTGTTGTTGTTTTCTCTTTTTTGCCTCTTTCTGGATTGGTTGGATATATTTTTAGCATATTTTTTCTTTCTACTAGTTTGAAAATAGTGCACTTATCCAAGCCCAAAATTAATTTATTCACTCTCCTCCCCAAATACCGGACCCTTCTACGTATTAACCCTGTAGTCCTACCCACCCAGCTGTTCCCGCTGGCGTTCTAACTCGCACGTGTTCTTTTCTCTGTTCGCCCCACTGGCTGTCCCGCTACCCCGTCACCTCGCCCTCACGGCTGTCTGCTACAGGGGACGTTTGGTTGGGTGATGGCTCAGCTTTCCTTCTGCACCCCCCGTGCACGGTTCCCCGACCCCGGGCTCACCCTCTAGCCTTGCATCTCGTGCAGGCCTTCCTTGAGAGAGGTTTCTGGGGCGTGGAGTGGGTGGTGGCCATTGCTCTCGGCACCTGAGAGATGCCCCTCTGCACGTCTGGCTTCCGCTGCTGCTGCAGCCGAGAGGTGGGGTTCCCACAGCTTCGGGGAGCGATGGATCTGGCCCCTGCCCACTAGGTCCCCAGAACTGGAAGACAACTCTCCTAAAAACACCTGTTGTCCATGCTCTGTTGCCTTGTATTACTATAGTCTGACCTTGCCATGTAATTTATTTGTATTATTCCAGCCAAACTGAAATCAGTAAAGGAGGTTTTGCATTTTTCTGGACCAGACTTGCAGAGACTGACAGGCCTTTCTGGCCCTGACGTGCAGCACTTGCTGAGAACGGCCTCCTCGCACCTGCGGGGAAGCAGCGTCTTGACAGGTGGGCAAGGAGAGTGTCTCCTCTGCCCGGGTGCCCTGGGGTTTAGCCGGAGCCCTCCTCTGGGTCGCGGCTCCCCAGCTCCAGGCTGTGGGGCCGTGTGCACAGACTCCACTGAGGAATAACTGTGTAGCCGTGGTCACAGCGTCGGGAGCGGGACACACTGGGTGGGCAGGGCGAGGACTGCAGGGCCGTGGGGCCCTCGATGCATTCGTCAGTTCTTGGGCCACAGAAGAAGGGACGAGGCCTAGGGGCACAGGAAGCAGGGGTGAGTTGGTATCCAGGGGAGCCCAGAGCCCATGGTGCCCACAGAGCACTGCAGCTTGGAGGGGCCCCATGGCCAGAGGGGCCTGGGCATTGGAGAGACCTGCCCAGGGCTTCCTGGCCATGGCCGCCGCCTCCTTGCCCTCCGGCACCCTGCCCACCCATGTGACCGCAGTCCCCTGTCCTCCTGCCACTCAGCGCCAGCAGGCTGAGCAGCAGGGGCATGGGCAGGAGAGCCAGGCTGACAACCCCCTACCCGCAGCGCTCCACCTGTTCCGGCAGAAGGAGAGCTTCCCCGCACAGCACCAGCGCCTGAGCCTGGGCTGCCCCGTGCTGGACGGGCTCCTCCGAGGCGGCCTGCCCCTGGACGGCATCACCGAGCTGGCCGGCCGTAGCTCCGCCGGGAAGACCCAGCTGGCGCTGCAGCTCTGCCTGGCCGTGCAGCTCCCGCGGCGGCACGGGGGCCTGGAGGCCGGTGAGTGGCCGCCCGCTTTGGCGGGGGGCGGGGGTCCTGGCCGTCAGCTCTAGGGGGTCCCAACTCCGTTCTTGGGCTGCTTTCCACTGAGGTTGGGTGTGAGGGCTGTTCTCTACGATTCCCATCTGTCTTCACAGAAGACTGAAGCGGGTGGCCTGAGGGGTTGGCGGGCATGTGCAGCCTGCCCCCACGGGAGCAGCGCCCCCCTCCAGTCCCTGTCCCCGCGTAGAGCCTTAGAGGCGGTCGCCGGTTGAGCACAAAGTGCCCTGGGGGTTGTGGGCCTGGCCCGCGGATTCCCACAGGCTCATACATACATGTGCTCACACCACCAACCTGCAAACCATTTGGCCCCCAGAGCCAGGAACACGGGACAACCAATATTTCGCTTTTCTCCTTTTGGGAAGGAGTGAGGAGGGTGAGGCTCGAGGACAAGGAGGCTGGCCGGGCCGTGCACGTGGGGGCGGCAAGCCGAGTCCCCCTGCATGGTTGATGTGTTTGTGACATGAGCACAGGCTTGCCCAGCATTAGGGGGACTTTTGGAGGCTGCCTATTTGGGTCTTTCAGGTGTTAACAATTCAAGTTGTTTTTATCAAATGTGAGATAACTGGAGTGAACGTGATGTTTCCTGGTAGCTCCCTGGCTTTTATAAAAGTCCAGCAGCACTGACGTGCGATTCCTTACTGCTCTTAAACTGCATGTGAACACAGGATGGCGGCACTTCGCGGACACCACCTTTGGCTCGTCCGCCCGCTTCACTGCCCAGACGGGGCACTAGAGCCAGAGCAGGCACCTGCCCAGGCCACAGGGTGGGTTGGGACTGGAGCGGAGCGAGATCTGGACCCTGCCTTCTGAGGCCAGGCTGCCTCCTCACGCTGTTGCCAGACCTGCTGCTCTGGTGTCATCTGTCACTCAACCTCAGCAAGTCCCTCCCTGTTAGCTGGGACCCTTGGCGGGGCTCTGGTATGCGGAGCTTGGTTTGGAAACTCCCCTGTGTCCCTTTGAGCACCGTGAGCTCCCGGTGCCTGCCGGACCCACGGGCCGTATGGGTTTAGTGCTGGGGTCTCCTGACCGAGCCTGGGGCTTGCTCACACCAGAGGTGGGTGTTTTGTGTCACTTCTTGTCCCTGTGTCTCTGGGTAAAGGTGTGGCCCAGGAGGGCTTGGGGGTTGGGTGCCTGGCACCCTCTGCTGTACCATCTGAGGCTGTCCTGGTGCCTGGGTGGACGGACTTGGCCTTGAAAGTGGGAGTCCTCAGTTTCCCCACAGAAGAGCTGCCATGAGACAGGACTTGCATCTGCTCAGAAACGAGATGGGAGCCACATTGCTCACCAGCGTGTCCTCATGCCAGGCTTTGGGCAGGTCCTCTCTTCACCACGACTCACACGGAGCTGCTGCCCCATTGCCTTCTCAGGGAGCCAGGTGGGGAGGGGGCTACGCCCAAGATGGGCTGGGTGTGGAGCGTGGGGATGACGGGCGGAGCACAGGGCAGTCAAATCTGGATTCTGAATCTCTCCTGAGCCTGGTCATCTTTGCTCCATGATGACCCCAGATGTTCTGGCCCAGCGGGGACCTTGGGGATCCCTGTTCTCTCCTGGAACCGTCACACGAGCAGTTACCCGTTGGCACCTGTGTTCATGCTGGGTCCAGGCCCAGGTCCTCGTCTGTACTCAGTGTGCGCCTGGCACATAGTAGGTGCTTTCTGACTCGGTGGGAGAAAGGTCACAGCACAGCAGGGGCAGGTCCTCAGTGCTGCTTGGGCTTGGAGCCGGGCCCCTCCTCCCTTCCCATCCCACCTCTGGACCCCTGAGAATGTCCCTCGGCGATGCCTGCGTCCCTCATGCCAGGACACAGCAGGCACAGTGCGGCAGCCCCACTGTGCACTCGCTCCTCCCTCGACCCCAGCCTCATGTGGCCCTGCCACGTGGAGAACGCCACCTTGTCCACTCGCCTGGAGGGTCTCACCCCCTTCACCATCACCACAAGACCCGGGGTTGCTTCTCTTGGTGACAGTAGTGTCACCTCGCAGTGATTCCTCATGACCCCTGCAGGGGACTGGGACTCCGCTGGGGGTCTGAGGCTTGTGCTCCCAGCTGCACCTGCCTCCTCTGTGGAACATCGCACGTGGGCAAGGACTCAGAGAACTCGGAGCCAGGGGACCTGAGGCTCTGAGGGGCGGAGCTCCTGGGTGGCCAGTGAGGTTCCACAGAGATCCGTCGGATCCAGGGAGCAGAGCCAGCAGGATGGACTGCAACTGGCAGGTGTGGAGGTCGGCCTCAGGCTGACCAGTGTCCGTTTCCAGAGATGCAGCCCCCAGGAAAGGAAAGGGACGCAGACGTGACCATCACAGTGACGGAAGGAAAATAAAGAGGCGTGTCCCATGGTGACCTGGCGGGGAGGGCGGAAGGGAGGCGAGCATGTTAAATGTTGGGTCCATTATGCACATTTTCCTGAGAAAATGGCTTCTTTTCCCTAAATCAGATCTCAAAAGCCCTAATTTTGAAAAGAATGGCCAAGAGGCTCTGGAGTTACTTCAAATCCTGTACTTAAGGAAACCGCCCCTGGCCTGCTGCCATCTGCCGAGGCCACCACGGCCATGCAGCCCCTCTGGGTGGGGACAGCGGAGGAGGCCCCTGCACACCTCTCCCAACAAAACCTGCAGACAGGCAGAGGGGCTTAGAGGACGACGCAGGTGCAGACTCGATGGGTTCTGAACCTTCCGTCCAGAACGCCCTTTCTCCCAGAATGTGGAAAACATGGTCGCTCCCGGCGGCCTCGAGGATGATGTGGGCCTCCTGGCGAGGGGCTCAGCCGTGTCGGGAGTGCTCTCCAGGCAGCATTTCCCCCCGGAGTGATCTGGAATGTGCCAAGGAAGGTTAAGATGCTGCTGACGGTCAGGAGCGGACCACTGACACAGATTCAGACTTGGTGGTTCCTGTCCTGTCTTGAATCTTCTCTGAGTCTGAAATTCTGTCGAAACAAAAGTAGATCAAGATCAAGTGACACACATTCACAAGTAGGATGCTGATGTGGGTGTGGTGCTTTTGGGCTCTCTTCTGCGTCCCCTCCCCGAGGCTGTGCCGTGAACCAGGCAGGGAGAGGGTGAAGGTCAGCAGTGGGCCCTGGGGGTCCTGGCAGAGCACAGCCAGCGCTCAGCCACATCACAGGCCTTCTTTTTTTTTTTGAGATGTATTTCATTTACCTTAAAATTCACGCTTAAAATGTCCAATTCGGTGGTTTTTACCATTCACAAAGTTGTACACCCATCACCACTATCTAATTCCAGAACATTTCATCACCCAAAAAAGAAACCCCAGTCCCGTTAGCATCACTCCCCAGTCTCTCCCTCGCCAGCCCCTGGCCACCAGCTGTCTGCTTTCTATCTCCATGGATTTGCCTATTCTGCACATTTCATATAAATGGAATCATACAAATGTGGCCTTGAATGTCTCTCTTCTTTTGCTCAGCATGATGTTTTCAAGGTTCACCCATGTTGGAACATTTGTCAGTACTTCATTCCTTTTTATGGCTGAATGATATTCCATTGGGTGTACCTACCACAATTGTTTACCTATTCGTCTGTAGATGGACATTTGGGTTGTTTCCACCTTTTGGCTTTATGACTAATGCTGCTGTGAACATTGGTGCACACGGCCTTAGGTAGAGGCATGTTCTGGTTTCTCTTGGCTGGATCCTAGGAGTGGGGTTGCTGGGTTATATGGTAACTCCACGTTTACTTTTTGAGGAGCTGCCAGACTGTTTTGAGCAGCAGCTGCATCATTTTATTCCCACCAACAGGGTGTGAGGGTTCGTTTCTCCGCGTCCTTGTCAACCCTTGCTTGTGTTTTTGATTCTTGCCATCCTCATGTGACGTGGGATCTCACTGTGGTTTTGATTTGCATTTCCCTCCTGACTAATGATGGTGAGCATCTTTTCCTGTGCTTATTGGTTATTTGCATATCTTCTTTGGAGAAATGTCTATTCAGATCTTTTGCCCATTTTTACATTTGGGTTGTCTTTTCGTGGTTGAGTTGTAAGAGTTTATATAATCTGGATACTAGACTCTTTTCAGAAGTCTCTTCTCTCTGCGGTTGTCTTCATTTTCTTGATGGTGTTCTTTGAAGCACAAAAGTTCTTCATCCTGATGAAGTCCAATTTATCTATCTGTCCCTTCTTGCTTGTGCTTTTTGTGACCTATCTAGGAATCCACCGCCTAATCCAAGGTCATGGTGATTTACCCATGTTTTCTTCTCAGAGTTTTATAGTTTTGGCTCTCACATTTGATCCACTATAGTTTAACTTTTGTATATAGTGTGAGGTAAGGGTCTAATTTCTTTCTTTTGCATGTGGATGTCCAGTTGTCCCAGCACCATTTGTTGAAAAATTATTCTTTCCCCATTGAATTGTCCTGGGACATTCATTGAAAATCAGTGGCCACAATGTTAGGGTCTGTTTCAGGTGGCCCCTGGTTCTTTTTAGCTGCAGGACTCAGGGTACATTCTCTGGTGCGGGGGTCCAGGCCCCAGCCAGCATGTTGCCCCCGGGTGTTCAGGTTCCTGGTGACACGTTGCCCATTACTTTTTCACTGGCTTTTCCAGTCGCAGCAAAGACACAGTTATCCCCACGTAGCCCAGGATTGCAGGGGGAGCCTGGAAAGTGGAATCGAGGAAACATCTGCACAGTGGAGCCTTTAAGGGACATCTCCCTGCGTTTCCAGGAGGGGGCATTTCCAAAAGCCTGTTGGCCTTGGTACTTCCACTCGCGACAGCGTGGGGGACAGACCCACAGGGTGACGTACTGTTGGCAAAGTGGCTGCAGTGGGAGACCAGCGCTGGCCTGCCTCCCTCCTAGGGTCGGAGGGGAAGAACCTTTGTGGGGCAGTGTCAGAAACAAGGGGAAGCGTTTGCCTGGGGTTGTGTGGTGGCCACAGGCCCCTTTCCTGATGGGCGTGCCGGCGCTTGGCTTCCCAGGGGCTGTCTACGTGTGCACCGAAGACGTCTTCCCGAACAAGCGTCTGCAGCAGCTCATCGCGCAGCAGCCTTGCCTGCGCACAGACATCCCGGGAGAGATGGTCAGGAAGATCAGATTTGGCAACCAGATCTTCATCGAGCATGCAGCCGACGTGGTGAGTGTCCCGCCTGTCTCTCCAGCCCTGCTCTGTGGGGCAGGCGGCCGTGAGGCGCATTCCGGTGTGGTGTGCCCCGTCCGGATGCGCAGCATGAGTTGTCACCTCAAATTCAGGTTGACCTGGGTGTCCCCACCCATGAGGGAAGAGTCGGGACGCGAGGCCCCCCAGGCGGCGGCGAGGGCGCCTGACCCGCCACCTCCTGCCCCCAGACGAGCCCCTCGGTCCCCTCGAACAGGCTGCAACTGGGGTGAGCGCCGCCTGCTTACCTGGTCACCCTAAAGGGACCACTGCCCAGAGAAGGATGGGACCTGCTGTCCAGGCTGGCTGTCCTGGTGAGAGGACGCTGTGTTGGGTTTTACTTCTGCCTCTGATGGAGAGGAAAGCCCCCTCGTCGGAGCACAAGGGCCCCCCACCTGGCCAAGTCCTAGTGGGCACCCAGCCCCCTCAGATCGCTGACCGCCAGCTGGCTGCGCCACTGAGGAACGCCACATCTGGAAGCATCACCAAGTCGTGGGCTCCCTCCTTGTGAACAGATAACCCTCAAGGAGTGGGCAGGAGGGCTGCTGGGGCCAGGCAGGTGGGCGGGGAAGCGGGCCGTGACCTGGTCAGCTTTTCAGCTTAGATCATTATTTGACGGAAGGATGAATGATGAACGGAAAGGATTCAAAAGGAAGGACAGGAAGTCAGCATAAACCAGTATACCAAAAATAGCTGGTGAAGCCTTCGCATGGGGCGGGGGCCTCTCCATGCAACCTGGCTTCCCAGGAGAGGCCTCTCGACATCAGCTGCGGCTGGGCAGAGCCCCCAGCTCCTGGGTGGGCCTCTCCCCCTTTTAAGAATTGTTATAACGAACTTCAAGTAAAGGATAAGGCTTATAAACTTTTAATTTTTAAAAAATTTACAATAAAATACATTATCACGTGGAGAAGTAACATGATGAGAAACGGCACAAGAGGCCCAGGCAGCCAGAGGCCTTTCCATGCAGGTTCAGGACACAGCCTCGGGGGCTCCCCGGAACGGCGGTCCAGGAGGGAGGCTGCGCCCGCCCTGGCCTCCTCTAGGACGAGGCTTTGTGATCAGCGCGCGTCCTGATGAGCAGCGTGGTTATTAGTATGACAGCGTGCTCCACAGTGTGGGGACACAGAGAAGACAAGGTTAGTGCTGCAGGCTCCCAGCTCCAGGGCCCTCCAGCCTCAGCGATCGTCCCCTGGCTGTCACAGGGCCGGCTCAGGCCACACACAAGCAGCGTCGTCCTGGGTCTTCCAGGGCCAGATCCAGCTTCACTGCAAGAGAAGGCAGTGCGTCAAGGCCAGATGACCCAGACCCGGTGGTGGTGGCATTTCTAAGTTTTGTTCTGGAACAGCTCTGGGGGCAAGAGGCCTCCACCCTCTTGCCCGGTGTCCTAGAGACTGGGGGGCGTGGGGGCTGCTGCTGGTGCGAGCCTCCCCGGAGCCCAGAGCCCTGGTGTTGGGGAGGCTGGTGGGGTGGACCTGGGCCTGCTGCTTCTGCACAAGCAGGGCCTTGGGGCCCTAGTCCCCACTTCCACCTCCCAAGGGACGGGGTCTCCAAGCTAGATGCTGTGGAGTCCCGGCCCTGCAGCAAGGGGGCACAGCCACCACCTGCCCAGCCCCAGGTGCCCCAGTGCTGAAAGGGTGCAGGACTCACGTTAATGTTAGCGTCCTCTAGGCCACTACTGCTGCTGTCATTTTCCACAAAAAGAGGCTCTACTGGAGACACCCTGGAGATTTAAGCACAGAACTGAATTTCATTCCAGGCAGGGCTAGGAACCAGACACTGGACAGCTCTTAAGAGTTCTGGATGGGGCAGCCTGTGTTTGGGCCTGAGAGTCAAGGCCGGCAGGGCAAAGTGGCCACAAGGGGCAGGCCTGAGGACACCCTGACCCACCCTGAGGATCCTGGCCATCTCCGCCTCCCGGCCAGGCCAGAGCTGCTAAGAACACAAGGCTAAGGCCTTGGAGGATGGGCAGGGCTGGCCCCGGGGGCACCTGCACCTGCAGCCCCCAACCTGCACTCCCCACCCAAGCCCAGGGGTCTCCACATTCAAGGCAATGCTGGGTGCAGGACAGAGTTAGACCCCCAACCGCTGTCTCCTTCCTCCTCCTTCTGGGTGGAGCTGGCAGGGCTCAGAGCTGCCCCCAGAGCCACCTGATGAGGATAGTCTAGTGACTGTGGTGGTGACAGGCTGGCCTTGGCCATGTGGCTGGGTCCAGGTGGTCAGCACCCAGCGCAGGGTCACTGAAGGAGGGGCTCACTGTGACAGCCCTGAGGGGGTCGGGGGTTAGGCCCACCAGGGACTTGGTAAGTAAGATGGGCAGGACGTGGGGGGCTCCCTCGGCGCAGGGAAGAGGGGAGATGTGGGTGGTGGGGACAGTGACAGCCGCCTCCCCTTGGCTTCCAGGACACCCTGCTGGACTGTGTGAGTAAGAAGGTGCCCGTGCTGCTGTCTCGGGGGATGGTGCGCCTAGTGGTCATCGACTCCGTGGCGGCCCCATTCCGCTGTGAGTTTGATGGCCCGGCCTCGGCCCCCAGGGCCAGGTGTTTGCAGGCACTCGGGGCCACGCTGCGCCAGCTGAGCTACACCTTCCAGAGCCCAGTGCTGTGTGTCAACCAGGTGGGCCGGCCCTCCCTGCCCCTGCCCTACCCCGCCCACCCCCAGAGGTGGGTGCGCTCAGAGAGCTCGTCTTTTGGGGAAGAACCTCAGGGAGGGCAAAGCCAGTCCAGTGGGGTCAGGTGGCAGTGGGGTCCTCGCTGCAACTGACGCTGATCTGGACCTTCCAGGTGACGGAGGCTGTAGAGGAGCGCGGCAAGGTGCCTGGGCCACCAGGGTGAGCAGGGGCCCCGAGTAGGAGGGCGGTGTGGGCGGCGTGTCCTGCCACCGTGGTTTTGTAAGTAACGCTGGGCCTGTTTTCTGTCTCAGACACTGGGATGAGCGGACTTCTCCGGCCCTCGGAATAACCTGGTCTAACCAGCTCTTAATGAGGCTGATGGTCGATCGGCACCGCCCCGAGGAGGCTGTCCTCACCCCACCTGGCCACCCCGCCCGCACTCTGAGGGTGGTCTTCGCCCCTCACCTGCCCCCCTCGTCCTGTTCCTACACAGTCAATGCCGAGGGCGTGCGAGGGACGCCTGGGACCGAGGCCTGCTGACACGGCAAGTGCCCGACACCGGCCAGGTCCCGGCAGAGCCTTCCATACTCCGCGGATGCAGGGGATTGATGTCTTTGAGTCAGCACACCCGTCACTGGATTAGTCTCCTCCAGGGCGTCAGGAAGACAGTGAGCAGTTGACCCCCCACCCGAGACCTGGGGGCTGCTCCCTCCTCTCCCTGGGTTTTGGGACACACCCAGCTCTTAGGCCATAAGGACCTGTCCTCCACTGCTGCACTGGCCCTTGCAGGGACTGGCAGCTCTCCGGGTGTCTCTACAGTGAGCTCCTGGAACCCTCGGCCTCACAAGGAACAGCCTTCTCCATCCTCTGTCCACATCAGCTCCCACCCGGGATAGGGGCCAACAGTCTTCTCTGGCTCCTGCCCAGTGGGATCTCCACTCTACCCTCCTGCAGCCTCCTGCCCTCCTCCCCACAGGCTGCACCCCCTTCCCCCACTGCTCCCGCCACACTGGGCCATAGTCAGATGAGCCACCTGCTGGCCCTCACCCTCCCCTTGTTGGGCTGTTGGTCCCAGCCCCCAACACACTCACCAATCCCAAAACTGCAGTTTGGAACGGGGTGGAAAAAACTGACACCAAGCTGACTTTAGGCTACGGACTTTAGGAGAGGAGTTTGGGGGTGGGGTGGTGCTTCTTTTACTTTTGTGTTGCCTCTGCCACCAGCCACAGCTAGACAAAGGAGCAAGACACAGCTGTGGGCACTGGCTTGGCCCATCTGCTAGGAAAATCAGGTCTGGGCAAACAAGAATTTTATTTTTTAAAAAAAGCACATCCTGGTGTGTCCTTGGTGCCTGGCAGGGCGTCCACTCTGGCGGGGACATGGTGGGACAGCCTGGCAGGGCCATCTGCACAGACCCAGCTCCCACACTGTGTCTGGGGGCCTTACTTCCAGCTAGAAAGCGGGACCTCCCGTCAGCACAGGATCCTGCTACATCTCGCTACCAACTCCAGAATCTGACCATCTGGTGGTGGAGGCACGAGGCCCAGCAGTCACCAAGGGACGTGACTGCCCAGCCCAGAGGACAGGGCCTCCACAGAGGCAGAGCTGTGTCTGTCTTCATCCTCATCGTCCCCTCTCCCCAGTGCCTCACCATGCTGCCTGGCAGAGTCAGCCTTGGACAAATAAATGTGCTAAGTGACTGCAATTGTAGCCCCTGGACCCTTTCACTAGCGACTTGCTCTTTGTCAGACACTGTCCTAAAGTAATTCATCCACATTGACGTATGTCCTCGTCACAGCCCTTGGAGAGGGGTACTGTTACCACCCTCACTCAGGGAAACTGAGGCACAGAACAGTTGAGTGACTTGGCCACCCTCCCACAACTCCATGAGCCAGACACTATAACCCCAGGGCTGGTGCCAGGACGGCAGGGACTCACCCAGGCCAGCACTGGGGCTGGGGTCATAAATCCCTGTAGTTGAGCAGACTCTTTCTATTGGTATGTTTTTCTAGAGCAGAATGATCCATTTATAACTCGCACCACATTTTCAAAGTAGTCTGTGACCCTCACAGTTCAGAATGGCTGGTGTAAAATAGGAAAAAGTTCTTTCAGGGTTGGAGTTTTACAAAAGAGCCTTTCTGCAAAAGTACAGGGACTTTACAACAGGAAATAAAACACTTTATTTTTGCAATTAAATATAAAAATTCTACATCATTTCCTAGGCAAGTCACACCAACAATGAGAAAAGAAAACAACAGCTCCAGGACAGAACATACATTTAACGACGACCCACGCTCTGGCAGGTGCAGCCCAGCACAGGAGCCCCAGCACCAGTGCTCAACCCCTGGGCCGCCACACGCATCTGCCTGCCGGGCTGACGGCTGCACATTGCCCCGCAGGTGCCCCCTCACAGGCCAAAGGACACATCTGCAGTAGGGCTTTCTCTCTGTGTCTCAGGAACACCCACAATTCCCATGAGTGTGCAGGGCAGGAGCGGTGATCCCTGCAGAGCGCCCCACCCCTGCTGTCCTGGGGCCTCTGGGTGCACATTCCTCTCCATGATGTGCTCTCCAGGCTAGTCAGACAGTCCTCACAGACCCACGATCCCCCAGGCTGAGTTCCACACCACTGCATAAACCACTTTAATCCCCCCCCCTAGTGTTGGGGAACTAATTAACAACAAAGGACATGTCTACGTGCCTGCCCAAAGATGGCTCCCCGAGTACACGGGCGACGATGTCTGCCCTGCTAAGCCTCACTTAGCTGACCTGAGCGCACCTTTGGCCGGGGCTATTGAGTGCCGTCTTAGTGTTCAAAAATCTGGTGATCATACAGTACAGTGCTCAAAACTAAGTGCAAATGAACATACCAGAAGTTAGCCTCATATACGTAACATACCTTCCAAGAACATTCTATAAAGTTGACAGTGAAAGATCTGCTCTATAAATTGTAAACTATATATCCTTAGCAATAGTTATATTTTACTATAAACACTGAATTTCTAATTACATGATATTCCTAGCAGCTTTCTGACCAAATATATGACAGGACTTTTTTTAATTCCAGAAAATAACCGAATCCCTCCAACTTATGAACACAAAGACCCAGTGCTGCAGACCCTGGCTTTCCCATGCCCTCTGCCCTCAGACAGACCCTCCCATTCACACACGGGCCAAGGTGGGTCCCGCAGACACCTCTCAGGTCTCATCCACTTCCTGTCTGTCCTCTGGCCAGGGCACTAACTTGATAGAAACTGTAGAAATGGGTGCTGGCTCCCTTAGGTCCCCTCACCAGGAAAGGAAAACCCTTCGGAGGATGGACGGCCAGACACATTGCTGCTCTCTCTCCAAGGAGGTTAAAATTCAGACTACCAGACTTGACGTAGGTTACAACCTGGCTCATTTCTATCCTGATAGAAGTTCAAAAATGAGGAATTGCAGATTCCCATGTAGCATCCCCTCTGCAACATGAAGGTTTTTTACGACCTGGCTTCACGGAGGCCCTGTGGCTTCTCTTACTCTGAACACTGTTTCCACACAACCTTGCAAAGGCGACCACGGCCCTCAGAGGGGGCTGGGGCTGGCAGGGTCGAGATGCAACAAAAACTTCTGCAAAGATGGTCCGTTTCCACCAATTGGGCACTTTAAATTCTATTCTTAGCTCCATGTTTATTCTTTCTGAATGCCCCTGTTTTTCCAGAGAGAACTGTCACTAAGGAAAACTGAGTGGGTTTCCAATGTACTGGCTTGTGGCTGGGGAGAAGAAAACTTCACCTGGAGTGGAAGGAGACAGGACGGCACCCTGGTCCCTCCCACCTGGTGATAACGTGGCACACAGACACAGCACACTGCATCCAGGCAACAACACATGTCGCCCCATGGCACCTAAAGTGTGAACTTCAAAGAGCCACAGTGTCCACGCGAGGACAGCTTTGCTTTCTTCTTTCTTTTTTGGTGGTTTCTCACAACGCATCACATTTTTTTACACACCTCTAGACAGCATTTAGAAAATAAGTTCCTGATCCATCAGACACTGCAAAACCTAAATGGAGTCAGGAGCCGAGGAAAGCAGCATGGCCAAAGCAGACGAGCTGTAGGAGGCCTGTGTCAGCCCCGCCGGCACCTTCAACACAGCACACGCGCATGCACTACAAGCGCTTGTCTCTGGGTGGAAACAAGCCCATTTCCACAAACACAAGCAAGCTATGCCATGAGGTAACATATTATCAAGTGACAGGAAACTTCTCAAGTGTACAGTCTAGCCTCGCTGTAACAAAACCCCAGGATGCTGCTGCCTCCAGCCCTCAGCCCTAAGGCCACACTTGGCCTGAAGGACACGTGCAGTCTGAGGGAGCCCCTCCCAGTGACCCCCAGTGGGCAGGTACCCTGGCCCAGTGCAATTCATGAGGAAAAGGTGGCTAGGAGCAAATAAAAACAAGTGCCTTTGCTGTGACACCACCTATATCATTACATTAAAATAAATTAATATCAAAACCTGACAACAGTTCACAAGGATGCTCTCACAGTGTTTCCTATCCCCTTCAAATCTAAAGGCTGAATCTTCACATTCTAGCTCATCGGCATGGACCTGCCCCTCTGTCATCTGGAACTACCGACACCTTGTCATTTGTTTAGTATTTTCTGAACCTGCCAGTTAGTCTCACAGATTCCCTTAAGGAATAACGCCTTAGGGTTGATCTGAAAATGTTCCTATCAAAATCCACCCTGTGTTACTTAACTCTACAAAGAAAAACTTTCTAAAAATAAAACACCCATCTCTACCTGCTTAGTGTACAGGGGCCAGGAGAGAAAGGGGTGGGCGTGGGAGCCCAGAGGCATCCAGCAGGACAGGCGGTGGGGGTCCTACACCACAGGCACTGGGACTCGAGAAACAGAGACCCAGAAGGAAGGAGGCCTCCCAGCAAGTTCCTCATTTCTCCCATTTCTTATCAGACACTTTCCTCTAAATTCTAGGCATTACTGCCACAGATCATTAGATGTTTATTCTAAAAGAATGCAGTTTAAGGTTCCAGGGTCTTAATTTACAGCCTTAATACAACACTAAAATTTAAAACAGATTTTGGTGTTGTGGCAGAAAGTACAAGTGTCCATGAGCAGCGGCCAATTCCGAACATGCTGAAGCCGGCTGCCGGTGCCACGTCTGCCTCCCCAGCCGCCGCGCCCGGCCCGGTCTCACGTTCGTGCTTCGACAGCTCTCGGTCACTAGGACTGCAGACTGCTTAACAGAATTCAGGGCAAACCTGCGGGGGGTTGGATGTGACTATCTAGAAAAGGAGCGACCCCAGGGGCCTCCCGTGCAGAGTGGGTTCGGCAAAGCTTTGAGGGTCTCAGGGCTTCGTTAGTCTCGGGGATTTTATCTAGCTCTGCTCCGACCCTCAGTGGGTCAGGTCAGTGTGGCTGGCACTCAGAGGTCTCGAGTCTGCCAGACAATTATTTCGTTCCTGCATGAAAAAACAAATGGAAAGATTATACTTAACCACTACTTCAAATGACCCCAGCTTCAAGTGGTCTTAGCTCTAACAGTAATAGCCGCACGACTCTAAGACAATGCACCAGAGTCCTGATACTCCAATATGCAGGTGCCAACACCAAGGAATGGCAGGGAAAGAACTGTCAACTCCAGACCTTTTCCAACAAAAATATCTGCTTTTACTCTCATTACCAGGAGCGCCTAACGCAAGCTACCCAATATCCCACCAGCATCTGTGGTTTCTAACTAGAGGCCTGCTGAAAAGCACCCTGGGAACAATCACCTCCCAGGGTGCTGGGGGTGAGGAGAAGGTCAGCCTACCTGCCAGGTCCGTTACTGTCAGTGTACGTCAAACAGTTTATCAGTTGGACTGGGGCAACTGGGCCAGCTGCTGACTAACAGGTGTGGTGACCAGGAAGTCTGGTCACCGGCAGAGGAGCAGCAACTGCTAAGTCCCAGGTTTCTCTTTTGCACAAGGTCAAGCTGCCTGGTCTGCTCAGCACACTTGAGAAACAGGGCCAGGCGGTAAGGTCCAGGAACCTGGCTGCACCCTGACAGTCACACCAGACATTTAAAAGAAATGGAAGACAAAAAGGCCATTTTTGATGGAGAACAGGATGCCAACAGTTTTAAACGTGAAGGTAACACATTCGTGCAAGACTCTGACAGCTGACAGTGCTCAACATCCTGGTATCAAAGTGACAGTGTCAGTTACTTACATTAGTGAAGTTTTGAATAGTTTTAAAACACTGAGCAACAGGTTAACTAAACAATGAATTAGTTATAAATTTATTAGAGGCTAAAATCATACATACATGTTAATACATTAATTTAATATAAATTAACTGGCTAAGTTTTAATATTACTTTATCAGAATATTTAACTTTTAATTAGGTCAAGTAAACTATTTTTAAAGATCATTAATTAATATACTGAACATGTTCACAATGTGAACATTCCCATAATTCACATAGTCAAGTTACAGCAGAATGTGAAAATACCACGATGCCTATCTGTCTAAGGATCAGAAACACGTAAATGTTCACCAGGAGGCTGTTGAAGTGGCAGTGGCGCCAAGGACAGGGCTGCGGCCAGCCTGGCTAACCTGGTCTAGGTGGCCAAGGACGTTAAGCAGGGCAGGCTCCTTACTTGGCAATGGTCTTCGGCTGCCTTGCCACCCACGTTAAGCACATTCAGAGAACTGGCACGCTTCATGCTGCAACCGGGACAGTGGACATGCAAGGACAAAGCATCAACACATCGGTCAACCAGCACGAGGAAACAGCACAGCCGCCCGCCAGAGGCCTCTGTTACCACGGGGGTCCTAACGGAGAGGGGGCCTTCCTCTCGCTCGGAGTGGGATGGCCACCCAATTCTTAACACACATATCCCAGGTCTAACTGTATTCAGCGCCCAGTAGAAAAAAAGGGCAGTTTCTCTGTGTCTCAGCCAAACATTTGTCCTAAAGTATTACACGTAAACTCCAAGTGTCAGTATATTTTCACTTCTTAAAACCTGGCTCACACAGGAGCCGAGAGGCTCTGCTGATGCAACACTCCCATTCAGCATGTGCGTCCACAGTGCCTCATCAGGTGAGTCTCAGGCAGGGAACCTCCAAGATTCATGGAAAACCATAACCCTAAGAGACCATGTTAGAGACACTCGAAACTCACTGTTAAGATCAGATGCATAAATATATTCTGTATTTTATATGTTTTTCTATATTCAAAGTAGGGAAAAACAAATTTTTTCATTAGTAAAATAGACCTGAAGCTAGTATTTCTCTGCTTAGAATCCAAAATTTAAAACAAATTTCATGGCTTTACATTTAAAGGAATATAGTGATTTATACATATGTTTACTTTTTCTCCCATTTGACACTTTTAAAATACTTGATGAAATATCCTACAAAATACCTTATAACCTCAACTTAAATTACAGATAGTCGTAAATTTACTATATTTGCTTACCACCACCCCGGATGCCCTCAAACAGAAAGTCACCTTAGCTTTTAAAGCTAAAATAACCGATACTAAGGGTTATTTGTAAATGTTTGCAATAGGATCTGTAATTCTGAATTTGAGCTACCTATGACATAAACAGTGAATACTATCATTTACTCCATGAGCTGAGGGCATGGCTGTGAGGCTGAAACACAGGTCTGAAGGGTGAGCACAAGCAGACACACACAGAGGAACGCTCTGGGAACGAGGACTGAAGGCCCAGGTCATGGCCCACGTTTCCACCAGCACCATGAGCGTGGCACCCAACAAATGGCAGACACTAAGTTCTCATTAAATAAACTATACCAAAAGCAAACACCTTCATTTACTTATCCTTAAGTAAAACCGACTCCCAAAATGTCCCAACCAGGACAAAATAAAACATCCCAACGAATCCTACACAGGTGTTGCTGCAGTTCTGTGTAAGTTTTTCTCTACCTAGAACTATTCAAGAACAAAGGATAAAATCAAACCAAATCACAAGTAAGTCACATTCTGGCATATTTAATTATTCTATTATTTAACTGGCCAATTAACTTTTCCTAAGAAAGCTACACAACCTTTTTCCTCAAACTCCCTATTCCTTACAAGGTGAAAGTAAGAACAACTTGACTCCTGTCAACGATTCTGCCCCGACTCTTCTGAACTGCGCCCACGCCATTCAGTTACACCTGTGGCGCTCACATTAGCAGTGCAGTAACCCAGTGGAGTCATACCCAGTGGGGAGCTGTGAACACTGCTCCTGGATCTCCTAGGTCGGTGATCCTCAAGATGCAGTCCCAGACCAGCAGCACCGGCACCACCTGGGAACTTGACAGAAAGGCTAATTTGGGGACCCTCCCAGACCCACTGTATCATAAACTGAGGGGCAGGGCCTAGCAGTCTGTGTTTTACAAACCCTCCAGGAGATGCTGATGCACCCTTAAGTTTGAGAACCACTGGTCTAGTTAGTAAAAACTGTTACTCTTACCTGGAAAGATTATTCCATTTTATGTATTTTATGAGATGAAATTTCTAAAGTCATTTAGTTTTTCAAAAAGTTCAGTAAGGTATCATCTCAAATAATATATATGAAAAATGTTAGTATATGCAAGTATACAGGTCTATTTTACATCAGGTCAGGCTGGCAAAGTGTTTTTAGCACTGTGAATATTTACCATATTAGGGAATGTTCGCACACTGTTATATCACAGCAAAGAGAGACAGAAAACATGGAAGAAAGAGAATGAAAAATTCTGAACTCTGCCACGAGGGAAGGAAGGTCCATGTCATAGGACTTAGTGCCAGAACTGGACTTTGCATTTAAAGCTTTGAAACATCCAGAACCTCAAATAACCAGTGCATTTTCCCTGGGGGAACTAACAACAGCCTGTGTAGAGCACTGTGACGTACAGATCACTTCCACTCATCAGCTCCATCAAAGGAACGGAAACTAAGCAGTCGCACAACAATCTGTTCAGATTCTCATAAGGCTGTAAGAAAAATTTTTAATCTTTCAAAATTCAGAGAGACAGATAATCTATTATTTTAGTTTTGGAAATCTGTAATAAAGAGCCCTTTATTCCAGAGGCAGTTCAGAACCTGCTTCCCCAAATAAGTGTTCACTTGTCTCATCACAGGCACTCTGGTGCTCTCCAGACAGCAGCATGGCAGTCTGCTGCGAAGCCCCACACACTTCCAAGCCCAGACTGGCCTCAAACGCTGCATCTTCCAGGTGGTTTTCACAACAAATGTCTACGGAACTCATAAAACTCCCTCTACAGAAACACGCTTGTAAACATTTTTGAGAAGCAAGGCAACAGCCACTTACGAAAACCAAATCACTCCTTTTGTCTCAAAAGCCATCAAGAAACGTCTTCATCCACAAGCAGAGAGATGTCTAGGGGGCACAGAGCTAAGAGCAGGCCTGGGCCTCTGCTCCCTCACTGCACCCTGGGGCCTGCTCCCCCAGCTGAGGGGGGGACTGGGTGACAGCAGGGATCCCCAGGAGTTAGACCCTGACTGACAGTGAGAGGAATGAGAGTGGACATACCTCAAAATAGCAAAGGAAACAACTGAAAAGACATAAACTTTAATATTTCCAGTATATTGTCCAAAGGAAGTTGGTCTCACAGTGCTGAGACATTAGAATTCTTACCCACAGAACTTAAAGTGGAATCACTTGTAAAATACAGTTTTACTGAGAATCAATCTTTAAAGAGTAGGTACCATTTAGGAAGTTAGAGTTTCACAGAACAGCTAACAAAACACTGCTTCTGTGAGAAAGCATCCAAAAACAGGTGGTTATTTATACCAGAAATAACCCACGTACTGGGGCAATTTGTTAACACACTAACAGAGAAGTACAAAGAACCCCACACCTCCAATACACCTTATAAAAACAGAGTATCTCAGAACCAAATTTCTTTGACAACTTAAATGTTATTGCTCAAAAGACTCTAAGACCCATGACTGAATCTTTTCTAAACACACAGAAAATCTAAAGTTTTTTAAATCTCCTGAAAAAAACTCCTTATAATAAAGTCTTGAAATTGTGATCCTTCTATTTAAAACCATTTTTCTCCCTATATTAATATTTATGAGTTTAATATAGTTGTAGCTAGCATTTATTCTAAAAGAAGTAATTTTAAAGGATTTAAACTAATGCTAATTTAAGAAATAAATAATGCATATCTAGAGTAAACAAGTTAATATGCTCAATGTTTTAATATTATATTCCCACTTTTCACTTCTAAGGTTTTCTTTGAACATGTAACAAAACCAAAGAATTCCATAAATTTCTTTTAAAGGCATCAGCCCTTTTAGTCTCTAAACAGGAAGTTTCACAATTATTTCTCAATCTATCCTGGGGGAAGATTGAAACTACTAAACTTTTCCATTGCTAAAATATGGGAAATATGTTGGAATGTTTTTTCTGAAGTCTGTGGGTGAGAATGCTGTGCTTGGAGGAGAAATGGCCGTTAGACACTGAGCGGCAGGACGGTCAGCAGGGCTGGAGATAATTACCCAGGGTTCTTTGGCTCACTCTCTCGTGAACTTCCTCCCTTCAGCTTCCTAACCAGCTTCTCACTGCTGCGTCTAATTGAAGCCCGGAGTTTGCTAAAGGAACCACTGCGTTTTAAAGATCCAGTGCCATCCTGAAAAAAACGTGAACAAATGTGAAGGTGCAGGTGGTTGTTCCCCACAACCCCCCAAGAGGCAAAGCTGAATGAAAACAAGAATTTACATCACAGTTGACCTGCTTGTCTGTGACTTGCTGGTAATATGATTCCTACAGAAATTACCAATTTGCCATGTATGTAAATACACTTCAAATATAAATCTACCCATTTTAAATTTCATTAAAGATAATCCAATGATCATGAAAACCTTTGAACATGAAGCAGCTCACTCAAACAAAAGTTATAACGTCCCCAAAGGAAAATTAATTATATTGCTGTTCTGAAACAAAAGATAACACACAAAAAAAATCTCAAGAAAATTAAGGCAGCGTCTAGGACTCTCACCAGTCAGACCCCACGTTTAGTGAGCACGGAAGTGTCTGGTCCACGTAACAGTACGGGCCCAGAACATTCAGATCTGACAGGCAACTTCCTTTTAACAACTTCATCTAAATGCAATACTTAGACATACTGTTTCTTTAGGAAATTTTAAAGAACAGTTTTACTAATGTTGATTATAAATATGGTTAGAAAATCAAATAAAATGCTCATTCTATACAAATAACTAAAAACCCTCACACACCTTACAGGAAGCAAGTAAAAGAGTGCCCAGCTTTCATAATCACTGATTCAGACATTAATAAGTGAAACATTTGGCAGTATCCAGATATGAAAATCAAAAACACAGAGTGAAAAAAATGTGTTTATAGCAACTTTTATTCTCAGAATGAATCACTTAGTAAGATTAACAGTAGCCCTGTTCCTTCTAGAAGCTATGCAATGCTGCATTCCATGGAAAGAGTGAGAAGTTCTACTAAGCAGACAGACACCAAGACACAGGTCAGTTAGAGTGAGTTTATTAGAAGTTAGAAAGACACAAATACACAAATCACTGAACACTTAAGATTAGTAGAGAAAAGCAGAATTGCCAAAATTTCACACAAAGACTACACAGCAAATGCTACTTGAGTGTGATCCTAAGGGGAGAGCCCAGAGCCCCGGTTGGTCCCACCAGATCTCTGAGTACAATGGGAGCAGCACATGCCCTACTCTTACAGCCTAGCTAGTGTCAACAGTCACCGTCATGCCACTGCAATAACACCTGTGGAGCATTTTTAACTACCTTTTATCAAAGTGAACAGCTAATCACTCAATTTTTAAACTCATGTATTACACAGTAAATGGTTTTTATTAATACAGCTTATAATATTACTAAGTACATATCTGGCAAAGCTACATGTATACAGAGATAAGGAACCCCCCAAAAGGACAGCAGCACCGAAAGGAATGGCCAGTCACAGAGAGGTGTAGCTCTGACAAGAATCCTAGGGGATTGCTAAACACAGCAGTCAGCACTGGAGAGAGAAGTAAAGCTGGAGGAGGTGCCGCCCGTCATGCAGGAGACAGTGTGAGTGTCACACAAGGCAGCTAGGCCTGTTAGACAGAAACGGAGAGAGCCCACATGAAACTGCTGTGAGAAAAGAGGCAATTTTCCACTTAGCACAGCCTGGCTTACAGTATTTCTAGGTCACAAAATCTTAGCAGCATTTTTAATTGCTTTAGTTTTTGGGATTACCTTCTGTCTGCTTCTATCAGCCCAGTATAAAACAGGTCCTAGACCTTAGGTTATGTTTTACATAACCTAGTTATGCCTACCCATCATCAAAATAAAATTCAGCATTTTTAGAGCACGGATCAGCACTGTGCTAGGACTCTCCTTGATACTTACTAGAAAAAGGTTTTCAAGTAATCGTACATAAAGGAGATTCCACAGTGAAAACCACTGACAGTGACCAAAGGAGAAGCTACACACAGGAGAGAGCATATTCATTTAAGCTTTAGCTTCAACAGAAATCCCTTTATATCCCTAAACTATAAAGTTCTCTCCGAAATCAGGTAGGACTTTCTCTTAAAAACACTAACATCTTAGACATTTCAGAAACTTTAAGAAACCACTGACTTTAAAAGTCTATAGCACATTTTAAACATGCAGTTGATAATCCAAAATAAAATTAATTATAGAAAATGGATTTCCACAGGCAGCAATGCATCCTGGGTCCTGGCAGATTGGAAACCCGACGGTCTCGTACCGAAGCCCCAGACAGCGGGGACCTGAGCCCCTGCCCGTTCTGACTCACCATGGGACGCTGAGCAAGTCATTTAACCAGCCCGAGCTTCATTTTTCTCATCTTTAAAACGGAAAAATAAAACTTGTTACCAACTCCCCACAAATGTTGGGAGGACAAGAAAACATAAGTTCTTGCTGCTCTTCAGAAAAAGGATGTTAAAATGTTAATATAATTCCATAAATAGTACTACTCCTGCTGTTCACTTCAAACTTCAGTGCTACACTAGAGTTATGTATAATATTCCTGTATTAGACACTCAGCAGAATATGGAAGGGTAATTTCACTCAAATTCCTAAAGTATTTCATGTTAAAGACACACACACACACACACACACACACACACACACACACTCCCACTCTCCACCCCGCGCCCCCGCCACCGCTGGCTGCTGGCTGGGATCTGAGCAGCACCCGACTCCCACCCTCCTTACACTCACCACCTTAGACCCTGTCCCATGAGAACCAGCGGGAAGGACTGCTGTAGACCTGCACCGAACTGAGGCGGGTTTCTCTTCATTGTGGGCTTGAGGGTTTGGAAGATTTCACTACATTCTAATGCTTTCAAAAAGTATAAAGTCTACTTCTTTATAATGCCATGAAAGAATATTTACATCAAAAATGCGAGTTGCTGAACAGAAATGAATGGTATGATGTATTGGTTAAGAAATAAATAGTTATAATTATTATCTATGGATTTCAGGTGATTTGGAGTTTTAATTTTTTTGGTATATTCTAGTTGTCTTTAGGAAGACAACTATGTTAGGAATTATGTTAGGAAACATTAATGTTTGGAAATTATGTTAGGAAAAATTAATCTATTTCTAATTAACAGTTTATCCCATTCCCCAGTAACCCTGGGTAAGAGTTTAGAGTATTAAAATCTTTTAGAAATATTAACACGGGGAGCAGTGTGAAAAGAATAAGGAGGTGGGTGGAGCTGCTTCTAAGGACCCCCGTAGAGAACTAGCAACCCAAAAACAGAAAGGGCAGCACAGACAGAAGACTGACTTCAGGACCTCAGGTTCCATGTGGAATGCAAGATGTGCGATGTTTCCTGGTGGTCTAGTAGGTCTGCTGTAAATACAATTACCAATAATGGGGCAGCCCAGAGGCTCCCACACATCATGGTGGGGACCTAGGTGCTGGTGAGTAACACACGTGGGCCTCACAGTTAACACAAAGCCACGTGGTCAGAGGGTAAAGGGAATCCTGTTTTATCCAGACAGGATTCCTTTGCACACACAGCACCTGTGTTTTTAGAAGTAGGACCATAAAAGAAACAATTCAGACTTATCTTGACAGTGACTTTTAGATCTACACACTTCATACAAAAGTAACTCGAAGAAGTTACTTTTCAAGTACTTTAATCACAATATTTATGGTACATACTTAAAGAACAGAATTGTACTTCCCTAAACAAATTATCTACCCTGTCAAGAACTGGGTCAAAAAAAGAAGATCTGGGTCCAAAAACTTCATATGGATTACTAGCATATGTCCAGTAACTTTACTTCTCTTTTATTTTAATAGCACGTAATTCAGTTCTGTGCTGACCCAGACTTTCAGTATCTACGGGAAGCAATTATTATAACCTAGTGTGCCTTATCTTTGATCATATTGCCCTTTGTTTTAAATGTTATTTCTGAACACTGAGAAAAATTACACCTAATATCCTGTGTAAACGGTTGTGAGAATTGAGTCAAGCTGTCGTGTCTGTTCCCTGCCATCTCATCTGCTGGACATGCACCTGACCAACAGAGCAACACAATGCCTTTCCCTAGGGTAGCAGTTTTCAAACTTTTTAAAGAGCACTGAGGGGCCGGCCCCGTGGCTTAGCGGCTAAGAGCGCACGCTCCGCTGCTGGCAGCCCAGGTTCGGATCCCGGGTGCACACTGCCGCACTGCTTGTCCAGCCATGCTGAGGCGGTGTCCCACATACAGCAACTAGAAGGATGTGCAACTATGACATACAACTATCTACTGGGGCTTTGGGGAGAAAAAGGGAAAAAAAAAAGGAGGATTGGCAATAGATGTTAGCTCAGGGCCAGTCTTGCTCAGCAAAAAGAGGAGGATTGGCACGGATGTTAGCTCAGGGTTAATCTCCCTCACAAAGAAAAAACAAACAGATAAAGAGCACTGCAATCCTTTACTAAAAAATTAAAATGTGGGGCCAGCCCGGTGGCGCAGCAGTTAAGTGCACGCGCTCCGCTGCGGCAGCCCAGGGTTCACAGGTTCTGATCCCCGGCGCGCACCAACGCACCGCTTGTCAAGCCACGCTGTGGCAGCGTCTCATATAAAGTAGAGGAAGATGGGCACAGATGTTAGCCTAGGGCCCATCTTCCTCAGCAAAAAAAGAGGAGGACTGGCATCGGATGTTAGCTCAGGGCTAATCTTCCTCATCAAAAAAAAAATTAAAATGTAATACAGAACCCCAATATAAAATAAAATCTAAATGGTATTTTTTCATTATAAACGTATAAGTTCTTATGACAATAAACTAATAAGAGCAATGAAATTACCTTTATAAAATTTACAATTTGAAATATGAAGTTACAAATGACAGGTCTAGTCTTAACATCTACCTCAACTCTCAGTTTATTTCTTTTTTTTTGCTGGGGAAGATTCACCTGAGCTAACACCTGTGCCAGTCTTCCTCTATTTTGTATGCGGGTCGCCGCCAGAGCATGGCTGACAAGTGGTGTAGGTCCACGCCCGGGATCTGAACCCTTGAACCTGCGAACCCGGGCCACAGAAGCGGAGCACACCAACTTAACCACTACGCCACGGGGCTGGCCCCTCTAATATTTTATCCTGGTTGCATAACATTAAGAAACTCTTGGGCCAGCCCCATGGCTTAGCGGTTAAGTGCACGCACTCCGCTACTGGCGGCCCGGGTTCGGATCCCGGGCTCGCACCAATGCACCGCTTCTCTGGCCACGATGAGGCCGCATCCCATGTACAGCAACTAGAAGGATGTGCAGCTATGACATACAACTATCTACTGGGGCTTTGGGGGAAAAAATAAATAAATAAAATTATAAAAAAAAAAAAAGAAACTCTTGACGCACACAGATAAGTGGTTGCGAACGGTAACAGTTCTTAAAGCGTTTGCCTTGTAAACTCAGGGAAATCTTCACTCACACAGAGACAGGATTAGACGCTTTATTCTCACACCTGGACAAAGACTAACGTGGGGACTGCAGCGTGTTAACATCTAAATCAAAGGTGATGCTTGAAACGGGCTCTTTTGGTTGCATATAACTATACTTCAATGAAGTTGATTTAAAAAAACACCTAAGGGGCTGGCCCCGTGGCGTAGTGGTTAAGTTTGGCATGCTCTGCTTTCAGCGGCCTGGCTTTGAGGGTTCGGATCTCAGGCACGGAGCTACACCACTTGTCAGCGATGCTGTGGCAGGGACCCACAGACAAAATAGAGGAAGACTGGCACAGATGTTAGCTCAGGCCTAATCTTCCTCAAAAAAGAAAAAAGAGAAAGATTGGCAACAGATGTTAGCTCAAGGCAAATCTTCCACAGCAAAAAAAAAAAAAACAAAAAACAAAAAAAACACCTAAGTGTGCATACTGCTTTTATTGCCTCCTCTTAAATACCAAAAGTATGCTTTGAAAATAAAACTCAAATTAAACGTTGGGAGAGCTCAGCACTACCTTCTCAGAACCTCAGGCTTCAGGGAAACCAGTCTGGGAGCCACAGCCTTCCCGTGAATTCAGGTGATGTGGGCTGAGTCTGAGCAGTAGCCTTAGGTGACCAGCGGTGAGAGCACCAGCCCTCACCTGCTGCACCCTGGTTAATCCAGGCAGTTCTCTATTTACTCACTGCTTTATGTAAGACTCCATTTGAAGAAAGGGCTCCTTCCGCTGCTCAAAGCGAGTTTAGGAACCACTGCACTGGATGACCTAAGATCTAGATTCTTTCAGTCAGTAGACTCCACAGCTGATGGATGTGCCCTGGGGTGGATTTTGTCAAAGACGGAAAGCTGCTTGTGTCTTAAAAGTCGAGTAAAAAGCTGTCCAAAGCCCAGTGTGTGACCGTCCTAAGTGACAGCATGTCCAAAGTGCGAAAGATGTGAAGTGACAGGCGTTGGAGCAAGCACGCACTCACAGGAGTGACGGCTTCCACCTGCTGCATCTGTACTTCTTGCCTGACCGGGCGCTGCCCACCAGCCCCTGAACGGTGGAATGAAAGCAGCTCCCCGTATCCCTGAGGCTCAGTCTTGAAGACAGTAACAGAACCCTGGGTTGTCAATAATTTTAGTATCATATGACTTCATAGGAAGATCGACCTAGAAATACTGTCTCAAGAGAAAGTTCCTCCAGAACTTCATTCGAGAGTATCAAAATCTGCACCCTGGCTTCTACAGACAAAAGAAGGGACCTGGCCCTCCACATAAAGCATGCGGGACAACAGCAACCACGGGGAGAGTACAGTACACAGTGTGGGCCGCACGTGGACAAGAGCAGGGACCGTCATCATCGTTTTTGTCTGGGACGACTGCCCAACAGGGGGAATGGTCAAAGCAGATGCTGATTGGTTGTCTTGGCACAGGAAAAACCAAAGCAAGGGAGCCGCCAGATAAAGACAGTCAACAAGACTTTCTCCCTGATATGTTGGCCACTAGCACAAAATGTCTATTTAGATGCTAATCCTTACCAAAGTGCTACAGCTATAGGAAATCCCAAAAATAAAGAGATTCAAAAAGACAGATTATAAGAAAGCCCAAAACTACTACTTGGCAAGACATCTGCACAATTACAACTAATCAAACTGCACTACTGTGACTTCAAAAAACAGTGAGAGTGCACCGGGACCCGCTCCAGCTAATCCTGTGCTCAACCCTCCCTGAAGAAAGCAAAATTCCAAAGATACCAGCTCAATGTACAAAAAAGTTACCCTTATGTTAAAAAAATTCACAAGAAAGAAAATGTCCAGAAGGCCACAGGCTCTCTGGCAACCACTGGATAAACAGCAGTGGTCTGAGAGGCAAACCAGGGAAACTCAGAGGCAGAGCCTGGCCAGGGGTTGACAGGTCACAAACACAGGCACATGTTCTGGTCCGAACCTCTGGCAGGTAACTGTGAAGAGCAATAGCCCACAGGACCCCTCAGTGGAGACGTGACGTTCAGGACTGAGGTGGGACACCACCCTACTGTCCCTGCTCTTGACCTGTTCTTTCTAAAGAGAAGTTCTGCTTGAAACATCATTTCCCTTTAAGGCACTCAAATTAATTCTAACAAAATCTACAGTAGCCTGATGAGTGAAATTAGGAGCACTGGAGTTAGCAATGAATATGGGTAAGTTAAAAAAGCGAGTTAGTTATCTGCCACACTAATCCTAATATTAAAATAAAATCAGATTATGGATTATGCTTTAAATAACCAGGACACTCAATCAGCATTTAAGTGCTCAAAGTTAAGCCAAACAGTTTTCATGGGTTCCTAAAAAGAAGAAAATTACCACTTCAAAGAAATAACAGACTTCAGTATTAGGAGGAGATAAGAACTTACAAAAAGCTTAATTGGTACTTAATTTGAGAAAAGTAGAATGTCTAGCACAAGAGACAGGGGAAGCCACGGGAAAGCACTCCCGGTAGGAGACGGGCCCCCGCCGCTGCCCGCAGACAGACAAGCCCCTGCCTGAGCGCGCTGGCAACTGTGTACTGTACTTACCCCGTTCCACTCTACGCTCATACTCACTTCCTCCCCTCCATCAGGGCCACTCTCGTACTTGACCACGTCCACGTTGAGGCTCTCTCGGCTTCTCCTCTTCTCCATGTTCTCAGGGTCATTCAGCACTTCAGCTACTCTCTGTTTGTGAACATTGTCAAGACCCTGTGAGCCACGCAGGGGGAAAAGGGTTTGATCCATTAGCACTTAAGTTGTATCAGTGATTTCTAAGATAGCTAAACTTCACTAGAAAGAAAACAGTTCGTAAACATTTGAGAGAAAAAATCAGAACAGTGATTCTCAGGAATATACATTTGAGACTTCTGCCGTACATAAACTTTACTTCAAATGTAAAAAACCCATAAACAAATATTGAGCTCCAGTTAATGATTTGCTCGCTTAAGTATTCAGAGAGAAGTGTACTAATGTATATAGATTTGAAATGCTTCCAAAAAAAAAAAAAAGGATTGATGGATGGATAGACGGGAGAGATGTGCTCAACTATAATGTTCACGATAGCATCTACGTGGCAGGGACACAGGTCTAAAATTCTTTCAACTTCTCTATATGTTTGGAAAGTTTCATCATATGCTGGGAAAATGCCCAGTTTTTAACCCTTGAACACTAAGTCTCTTGTGCTTCTTGCCTCCATAATAAGTACATGATTGAAAACTCATGGATTACTTTATTCTCAGCACAAGATAACTGAAAACTAGCCACTAATTTACAAAAGGCACTTTAAGAGTAAGCTTTCACACTTTTAGGAAGTGATAAGCAGCAACAAGCACTCACCTTATTTTTTCAATGATTATTCATACATATTTGAGTTAAAAATAACTGGATTAAAACCCAACAGGTATTGTTCTCCATGTGTATTTCCATACCACCTGATGACCAGGATGCAACATGTTTTATGTTCTACATGGGATTCAATCCAAACAGCTCATGCAAATACTGCACCTTTGCTGACTTCACAGGTTCCTCCTCAGGAGACGCAAATCGCAGACAGACAGTGTGTTGCTGTGACTTTCACAGCAAAGCCAAGCAGGAGGGGACCATTCTCAGTAAAGAACTAGCAATCTCCTTCTTGAAACTTCTGAAACTCCTGCCTCTCAAGACTCTGCTCATTTGATAAACATTATCTGGCACTTTAAAACAAAGCCTGGATTGCTGATACCACTCCTGACGACGACAGGTCACAGCACTCTAGAGCTAGAATGAGCACTGCAGACCATCTAAGCCACCCTCCATTCCCAGGGGTGGCACAGACGGCACAGCCTGTGCTGGAATCCCATGCAGCCCACATAGCCAGACCCCAGCCAGGGCTCTGGACCCCATGTCACAAAGCTCCACGCAGCAGCCCTTCAGAGTCAGAAGACCCAGGAAGGATGACAGGACTTCAGAAAGGGCTTCTCCAGGGGCAGGGGCTGGGAGAACACACCATCGACAATATCTCTACTGGGTCCTCTCTAATCACTCTGCACAGACTTTTTTGAAAGAAAAAAATTGTAAGGTATATATGGGTAATTTTATTTTATTTATTTATTTTTTAATAATTTTATTTATTTATTTTTTCCCCCAAAGCCCCAGTAGATAGTTGTATGTCACAGCTGCACATCGTTCTAGTTGCTGTATGTGGGGCGCGGCCTCAGCATGGCTGGAGAAGCAGTGCGTCGGTGCGCGCCCGGGATCCGAACCCGGGCCGCCAGCAGCGGAGCGCGCGCACTTAACCGCTAAGCCACGGGGCCGGCCCATATATGGGTAATTTTAATCCCAGCCAAAAAGTGGCCATAAACCAACAATCACACAATAGCCTACATATATACCATTCAGGGGGAAAAAACCCACACCTGCCCCTCCAAGCCTAAAAATATAAAACAAAACCAAAACTGTCATCTCTATATATACACATATACACATATATAGTAATACATTGACTCCTTACTCTAAAGACTGGCAATTAAATGGCAAGAATTAAGACTTTTTCCTGTCCTTTTTCAGCATAACTAAAATAACTCAGTTGATGAAGGAAAGTGCTTCAGTAGTTCATAATTTTTTATCGCCAAATACCATTCCAATATATGGATCCACCATGACCTGTTTATCCATTCACCCTATGATGGACACGCGGGTTGTTTCTACATTTATAGACTACTGTAACGCTGCCATGAACATATGTGTACAAGGACAGTCAACTCTCATTATTTACAGATGTCATATTTGCGAACTCAGCTACCTGCCACAATGTATTTGTAATCCCAAAATCAACATTCGCAGTGCTTTCAGTTATTCGTAAACATGCACAGAGTGGCGGAAAATTTGAGGTACTCAATGTGTACTTCCCCAGCTAAGACTGAACAAGGTGACACTCTGCTTTGTTTCATCTCTTACTGTAAACAACTGTCCTTCTCCCAGTCTAAATTATTTAGTGCCACACTTTCCACACTTTTGTGCTTTTTTGTTGGCGACTTTGCTGTTTAAAATGGCCCCAAGCCTGGTGCTGCAGCGATGGCCAACGTTCCCGAACACAGGAAGGCTGGGCTGGGCCTCATGGAGAAAACAGCTGTGTCAGGTGAGCCTCCTTTAGGCGTGAGCGGGAGGCTGCTGGCTGTGAATTCGATGTTAAGGAATCAACAGTATATACTAAATAAGGTGTCTTTAAACAGAAACACACATAAAACAAGGTTATGTATTGACCAGTTGATGTAAATGTGACCAGAGGCTGGCAGGAACTTAACTGTGTATTTTCCCCTACAAGCAGTGGTTCAGTATTTGCTAATTCAGTGTTCACAGAGACTTACAGAACATAACTACTATGAATAACAAGAATCAACTGTATTTGTTTGAACACTTGTGCTCAATTCTTTTGGGTATATACCCAGGAGTTGAATTGCTGGGCCATACAGTAATTCTGTGTTTAACTTTTTGATGAACCATCAAACTGTTTTCCACAGTGGCTGCGTCATTTTACAACCCCACCAGCAGTGCATGAGGGTCCGAATTCCTACACTTCCTTCTCAACATTTGTTATTTGCTGTCTGTTTTGCTTTTCTGATTCTAGCTATCCTAGCGGGTGTGAAGTGGTATCTCACTTGTGGTTTGGATTTGCAGTCCCCTAATGACTAATGATGTGGAGTCTGTTCATGTGCTTGTTGGCATGCATGTATCATCTTCAGAGAAGTGTCTACTTAGGTCCTTCGCTCATGTTTTTAATTAGATGGTCCTTTCGTCTTTATACATTCTGGAGACTACACCCTTACCAGATATGTGATTTGCAAGTATTTTCGCCCATTCTGTGAGAGCCTTTTCACTTTGACGGTGTCCTTGAATGTACAAACATCTCTAACTATGTGAATCTAACTGGTCGAGTTTTTCTTTTGCTGTTTGTGCTTTTGGTATCGTATTTACAGTCTTTTAAACAACATAATTTTATTTGTACAAACTATTAAAAATTTTCTATTTCTAAATCAAACTTTCAATAAGTCACGTAAAAGAGAATCACTGAACTCAAAGTTATAACAGATAAGTTAAAAATAGAAGGTATGCTGGGGGCCCGCCTGGTGGCGTAGCGGTTAAGCGCTCGCGCTACGCTTCCGAGGCCCGGAGTTCGAAGGTTCGGATCCCGGGCGCGCACCAACACCCCTGCTTGTCAAGCCATGCTGTAGCGGTGTCTCATATAAAGCAGAGGAAGATGGGCACAGATGTTAGCCCAGGGCCAATCTTCCTCAGCAAAAAGAGGAGGATTGGCAACAGACGTTAGCTTAGGGCTAATCTTCCTCACACACACACACACAAAACAAGAAGGTATGTAACTGACCTGTTTACGTGACCTCATGGCTGCTTCTTCCAATGTTTCTGCAGCTTCATATTTGCCTTGACGTCTGTAAAGTGCCCCAAGGTTTTTTAAAGTAGTTGTAACAGTTGGACTATAAGAAAGCACATGACATACAGAACTATTAAATATAAGTTTTAGAGCAACCAACACACAACAGCACATAATCTAATGGACTAAGAGGCTTATGTTTGGTTAAAAATATTTTTTTAAATTTCGATGGAACTTTTTTAAACTGTAAAATTCTAAAATGTTCTGCTATCTCAAGCATCCCCTGCCTACCAGTGCTGTTCAGGGCAGTTAGGGTTGACCCTGGCACTTGCACTAGACACCTCTGCAGGGCGGGGTCCACTACACTGAGCCTTGTGGCTAGGGGATGTGCCCTTGCCCTCTTCCAGGCTGCGGCCACTCTCACACAGTCCCAGCCACTCTGTCCACAGAAATGTCTGTGCTGGGTCTGTCTAGTGACTATCATGCTTCCCCTGGAGGGAGAGCTTATTCTGCGTTGAGCAGTAAAGTAGACACGGTGTTTGTAATGTTGCTATTCACCTTCTCCCTTCTCTCCACAGGTAGAGGGGAAGCAGAGCAAATCCAAACCTCACCAGCAACGGGGTCTGAGTTAGGATGAATGCTGCATGTGTGAAGGCAGAATAAACACTATGGACAGGGATGGTGTGTTCTGTATTCTTGACTGAGCAGTCTTACTAAAGAACTAGAAACAAACCTAGTTCATTTTAGTATAGATACGTACTTCAAGAGACATTTTTCTTACTAATGATAGGTACTTTAGATACAGAAATAGAGAAGCTATGCTCGCTGTCTTTGAGACAACTACACAGTAGTGGGAGAAATAAAGCATATAAATGTAAGATATTATGGTAAGTGCTATGGGGAACCCAGAGTAGGGGTATTTATTCCAAAGTAGGGGTTCAGAGAGCTTTCCTGAAACAGATGACTGGTAAACTGAGTCTGAAAGGATGGGTGAGACTGAAGATAAGAAAATGACCACAGGGGGCCGGCCCGGTGGCACAAGCGGTTAAGTGCTAGCGCTCCGCTGTGATGGCCCAGGGTTCGCCGGTTCGGATCCCGGCACGCACCGCCGCACCGCTTGTTAAGCCATGCTGTGGCGGTGCCCCATATAAAGCAGAGGAAGATGAGCACGGATGTTAGCCCAGGGCCAGTCTTCCTCAGCAAAAAAGAGGAAGATTGGGGCTGGCCCAGTGGCTTAGTGGTTAAGTGCGTGCGCTGCGCTACTGGCGGCCCGGGTTCGGATCCCGGGCGCGCACCGATGCACCGCCTGTCAGGCCATGCTGTGGCGACGTCCCATATAAAGTGGAGGAAGATGGGTATGGATGTTAGCCCAGGGCCAGTCTTCCTCAGCTAAAAGAGGAGGATTGGCAGATGTGAGAAGAGGGAACAAAGCTGTCTGCAGCAGCCCGTGGTATGGAGGTGGCAAGCACAGGCTCACAGGGCTGGTCATGGAGGGGCTCACACCACCCGCTGCAGACACCGAGGCCCTGAGGGCCTCAAGGAAACAGGGCAGGTGTATGCCTAGGGTCTCCCTGTGGCATCCCAGACACATGTTTGCAAAGTGCTGGCTTTTGCAGGTCTGCTGGCCTATTTCCCATGAGTCTGCTCTATGGCCAACTTAAATACCATGTCCTTGTCTAGCTATCTCTTTCTCCTGCAATTCAGTAGTTAGCCTTGGACAAAATAGTATTAATGGACAAAACCCGTATTTACCCCTATTATGGTGGGTTTTGTGTATGTAGATCATCTCATTTACCAAGTATGGGATTTTTTATTGGAATTTGGGAAAAATACGAGACTGTGCAACCACACCACCTTAAGGAACTTTACACAAGGAAATTTACACCTTAAGGAATCTACGCAGGGTCATTTACAAGCTGCCTTTAAAGCATTAGTACCTTCCACAGCTGTGTGTGTTTTCAGTTAAACAGACATACCTATCAACTTTGCAGGCCTTATACCAGCCACCATACTCTCCAAAAGATGTCCCGTCCTTTTGCTTTCCCTAAATTATAAAAAATAATTTCAAATGAATAATTATCTTGAAAGCAATATATCCAATTGAGAAAATCTCTGAAAACAGTATATTCTTACTTTGCATTCTTCTCTTTCTTCAGCGTGCATCCAAATGGGTTTATTTTCATCTAGGGAAGAAAAAATAACCTACTATAAATAGAAGCATAATAGAGCCTACTGAGTAGAAGCTGTCAAGTTTCAGTGATTGCAAGGTTTTTGTTTTGTTTTTTATATGATCCTTCTTAGATATTACTTCTCACAACTTGGACAGATGAGGTTCACAAGGGAGGAGAAAGCCTATGAAGACAGAACCAGACCACGAGAAACAAGTAGGAGATGGCCAACACGTGCAGCACTGTCAACAGAAGATGCAGAATCAAATGTACCTAGACAGGGAAGGCAACTGTCAAAAAACCTGACACATGCTGGGGTCCCTATACTGAAACTTTTTAACGCTAGAATCCTCACATAACATGTAGGAGTATTTAGAATTTGAGCAACCTAGCATTAAACAAAAGTCTAAAAAAAAAAAGTAGTAAGATACTGGAAGCAAAAGTGGAAAAGATGCAAATCAATACTCCTTTAAAGTCTTCTTACCTTCTGAGAATGTTAACACATATAACTCACTCAAAGTTTCTACAACTAATGTACCCATACCACAGAGGACAAGCAGTCTTAAAAGTGAAGTTTATGAAAATATTTTTATGACATGAAAAATGATTATGCGAAAAATGATTAAGCTACAAGCATAAGGGAAAATAAGCAGTAGATATGATTATATGTAAAGCATGGTTTCAAAAATGTAAATCAGAGCCAGCCAGCTGGCACAGAGGTTAAGTGTGCATACTCCGCTTCGGTGGCCCAGGGTTCGCAGGTTCGGATCCTGGGTGCGCACTGACACACTGCTTGTCAAGCCATGCTGTGGCGGCGTCCCATATAAAGTAGAGGAAGATGGGCACGGATGTTAGCCCAGGACCAATCTTCCTCAGCAAAATGAGGAGGGTTGGCATGGGCTGTTAGCTCAGGGTTAATCTCCCTCACAAAAAAAAAAAAAAAAAGGCAAATCCATAGGCACATAAAGAAGGAAAAATGTGGGGCCAGCCCAGTGGCACAAGCAGTTAGTGCACGCACTCCACTGTGGTGGCACGGGATTCGCCGGTTTGGATCCCGGGCGTGCACCAACGCACCGCTTGGCAAGCCATGCTGTGGCGGCGTCCCATATAAAGTGGAGGAAGATGGGCATGGATGTTAGCCCAGGGCCAGTCTTCCTCAGCAAAAAGAGGAGGATTGGCAGATGTTAGTTCAGGGCCAGTCTTCCTCACAAAAAATAAAAAATAAAAAAAAATTAAAGTATTTACTAAAAAAGAAGAAAAAATGTTAAAAGATGTATTTGGGTGATGAAATTATGGGCAATTTTCACGTTCCCATCTCTCCATGAACTTTCAAGGTTTCCTGCAATGAAGACCTATTTCAGGCTCCCACCCAGTCCACCTACTCATCAACTATAAACCCTGGGCAAGCTACTTAGTCTGCAGTGTCCTCGCTCCTAAGAAGGGGTAATGTTTGACCCACTTCACAGGACTTGAGAAAATTAAATAAGGTTACACATTTAAACTGCTTAACTGCAAGACTAGTAGTACGTGGTTAACTATTATTACTATGATTATTATTCATCATGTCATAGAAGAAGAGTGAAACTAGTTTTAAATATTGGTTTTAAAAGACTGAACAGTATTTAAAACTTACTAACACTGTTATTTAGTGTGGTTTTAGCTCCATCTACTAAACTAACTCTATTGCTAGAACAGACAAGTAGACACCACAGTTAACAGAGCTTGATTTCCCAACAACGAACCAACTCATGGACTTCATTCACTGTGCGCACTGTGAGCAACAGAAGGCCCCCGTGACACGGAAGGTCATGCACCGACAGCATCACAGGACACATCAGCATCTCGCCTAAAGAAAAAATGCCTGTCTGTCCTATGTTTTAACATTTGTATGGAGGATAAATCCGAGTATAGAAAACTACTTTTAACTAGAACCCAATTAACTGAACTTCACGCTACTATTTTTAGCAGAAAAAATCTAGCAAATCACAAGGAAACAAGTCTTCCCCAAGAGTAGAATTATTTAAAAGAAGCATTAAGGAGATGGCCTGGAATCACTACAAAATCAGCACAGCCTCTGCAGTTAGATGAAGATACGAAAGCTCCCTATGAACTATAAATCGCCAGGGAGGTCACTTGTTGGCCCTATCCTGCCACACAACTGCAAATACAATCCAATTCCAGAATGATGAACCTGAGGCACTACTATATTCTGATAGCAAAAGAGATTTACTGCTCCACTTATTAACAGAGAAAAAAAAACAAACACATTTTTCAAAGATTTTTCCAAAATGGTTTCTAGAAAATCTCTTTAGAAGAAAAATTTTATTAACCAAAACCTCTCTTTCCCTACACATTCTAAGGTTTCCTGGACACCAGTAACAACTATCCTCATTCTGAACATCTTATGTAATACATGATGGAGGGAAAAAAAAAATGTCTTATGTACCACAAAAATATTGTTTTACTGAGCAATTTAAATCCTATAAAATATTTATTACAATCTGAGTATTAAGCACCTATAATACTTTAAGGAATATAAAGGAGACAGGCCTGGGCTTAAGACAGTCAAACAATCCAGCAGGCCTGGGACGGGAAGAATTTGCATTTGACAGGTCCCAGGTGGTGCTGGTGCTCCTGGTCCCTGCTGGCACTTTGAGAATCATTGGATTACAGGACAATGCCAGAAAGCATTAATGACTCCAGGGAAGATTTTTGGAGTTAGCGTGTCTAAGCCATGCCTAAAGCAAGCATGGGCTCTGGAGAGGGCAGCACAGAAAGACGTGGGCAGGTGGCCATCACTCCTCCCCAGAGGGTGCACGACCCCACTGAGTTATCAGTAATGCCAGGCAAGGACACAGGCGTTCACCACGTTCACTGGATGATGAATGAATGGATGAACTGATGAGTCGATGAGCACTCAGGCTGTGTCACGTTCTCTCCTCTAAGTGCTATTTGAAAAATCGTTTCTAAAATTCAAATTAAAGTCTATCTTGATAATATTGTGTTGACTTGGGTATTACCAAGTTCAAGATAGAAATCATTATTTTTAATGCATCCTACAATTGTATCTGCATAGAAGCAGGAGTGTAGGGCCGGCCCTGCGGCTTGGCGTGCTCCGCTGCCGGCGGCCCGGGTTCGGATCCCAGGCACACACCGGTGCACCGCTTCTCCGGCCATGCTGAGGCCATGTCCCACACACAGCAACTGGAAGGATGTGCAACTGTGACATATAACTATCTACTGGGGCTTTGGGGGAAAAATAAATAAATAAAATTAAAAAAAAAAAGAAGCAGGAGTGTACATCTTACCATCTACAGAACCAAACTCCCTTTCATGGGCACGAGTGAGAATCTCTTTGTACAGCGTTTCTGCTTGCTTGAATTTTCCTTGCTTCAGATAGCAGGATGCCTTAAAATAAAATAAAATGTTTAGTATTCTTCATATGTAAATGAAGCATACATTCTTATCTACAGGTTACATTATGAAACAAAGCTCAGATTTCAGAAAGAAAGCAATTCTGGCTCTACCTACAGAGTTGTTCCTCTGTAAACATACCAGGTTATTTTTTGTTTTGGCCACATTGGGGTCATCGGGTCCCAGTTTTGTTTGGTAGATCTCGAGGGCTCTTTGATAATAATATTCTACTTCTTCGTACTTGCCCTGGTTCTGGCACAGTAAGGCCAAGTTATTTAACTGCTTAGCAACATCAGGGTGATCCTTTCCCAAAACCTGAAAATAAAAAAGTATATTAGAAACACTTACTTGTTTCACTACCATCTGACCCATTCTCCACCCTACAAGAGAGATCTGTCTAAATATAAATATGACTATGCCTCACTTTTAGGCTTACAATCCTTAAAAGGCTTCTCATGTCCTGTAACAATAAAAATAATTTGACTAGAATTTATTGAACTCTTATCCTTGGAGGGAAGGAGGGAACTGTGCCAATTTTCTTTACATAATTTAACTTCCTTAATTCTTATAATAATCCTACATGGTAGGTAACATTATCATGCACATTTTGAAGATGAGAAAACTGGGCTTTATAAAGCCTATGTTAACATGACTGCCAAGTTCTGGAAGAGCCCAAGCTTAAACCCAGCCCTCTCTGACTCTAACTACTGCATTACTCTCATTCCTATGCATACAAGCCTTCGAAGGAAATTTCCAATTCTTCAACTCCACCTGTGTATCCCTTCACATTCAGACCTGGAGGTCCCCTGCAATCACCCCAAACTCCTTTCCCTCACATTTCAAACTCCACCTTCAGGGCTCTTTGAACTCACTGTCCTAGATGCCCGAAGCTCCTCTCCCAACCCCCCACCCAGCTACTTTCCCTTCAGGTCTCTCTTCAGGACCCCTCAGAGGAAACTTCCCTACATCCTATTTAAGGGAGCCCTCAGCCCATCCCCACCCAGTTAACTCACAAGCACATCACCTGGTTTTTCTCTATCTTTCCAAGTACACTACCTGAAACTATCTCATTTATCTGTTTAGTCCTTTATTGCCTGACTCTCACTCATTAAAATGTAAGCCTCAAGAGTGCGAAGTCTTTGTCTGTCTTCGTCACCGATGTAATCTCAGCATCTAGAAAGGTGCTGGCACACAAACAGATGAATAAATACAAAACTATTTCCTTAGCACCCTGAAGAAGCAATTCATTCTCTCAACTCCGTGCCTTCTCGAGTGAGGCAGGCCTTCTCTCCACCCCTTTCTGCATCCCCTACCTCTCCCTGCCTGGAAAACTCTGAACTCGGTTATTTAAGACTCGGTTCAAACACTGACCATTTGAAAGAAGCCATCTCCAACGCACCCCTAAGCCCTGGACTTGGAGGCGGCCCTGCTGTGTCCTCTCCCAGAGCTCCCTCCTAGAAGCCAATGCACCCTGTGTTCCCAAGGTCTGTCTAGTGGACTGTGCTCCTGGGGAAGGAACTGCATCTCTGATTTGTAAATCAACAACTCTAATCAAGCAGGGGGCTCTTAAGTCCTCAATAAACATTTGCTAAATGAGGGAATGAAAGAGCAAATATTTATGAATGAATCTGGCAGATAATCCTATATAGTTCATAATCCTTAATTTGATACGTTTGTGTTCTCCCTGATTTTAACCCCAGTACACTCAAAATCTGACCATTTTATTTCATAAACATCATGCAGCTGGCAGCATGATAAAATTTTACTTGCACAGTTTGATAATAAGCCCCTTTTTACTTTCCCTTACCCAATTCCTTGCCATATGGCTCAAAATTAAATGATTAATCTCTCAGTATCATTGGTAAATAATCACAAAAAATACCAAGAAACATGAACCTGACACCTGAGTCTCTGTAATATTTGAATAGTCATACAGAGTACTGCTGAAATTCACAAGTTCCATTTTTTTCAATACCTAATCACCATAAACTGTAGCAGCTGATATTAAATATCCAAGAGACTGACTTAATCTATAGCTCTGAGTTAATCTTTAGTTCCGGAAATAATTATTTCATTTTTTTAAGCTTTATAAGCATATTTGGTGACTTTATTTTTAAATTTTAATGTTTTTCTTATTGACAGGCACATGCCCCATTGTCAAATGAAATGCCCCCATCCTTTCCACCTCCAGTTCTTGGAAATTTCTTCTTCAATAGAGTCATTTCTCAGCCACCTCAGGCTGGGAGGGCATGCAGACTCAGGGTTCCACCCTCTGAACACCCACACCCTTACACACCAATTTGTGTGGGCCAATCTGGCTGTGTTTTGTGGGCTGTCCACCTTACTGAATTAGATATTTTCAGTAAATGGTCAGTAATGACATATCACAGTGGTCACTTCTCAAAACTTAAAACTGAAACACTTAAAAAGCACAAAACACCACACCTCAGAGAACAAGAACCCCCCCTCACCCGCACCTTTTCTCTGATCTCCAGAGCTCTTTTACACAGCGGCTCAGCTTCTTTGTACTTCCCTCTTTTGCCATACAACACTGCGAGGTTATTCAGAGTTGCTGCCACCTACCAACAGAGGGAACCAGGAAGAATGGTAAACACCACCAAGGGAGAGGACTTCAGACACCACACGTTCATTTACACCCCCTATGTACAGTGAAGTGCTCTCAGTTGGATGAAGCAATATGACTTCAGTTAAAAGCAAAAGAGCAATTCACTGTAATATAGATAGAGTATACAAAGTAACACTGCAGAATACTACATGTAATCAACATCAACATGATCTCGATTTTTTAAAATTTCACTGAAAGCCACAAAGCCAACCAAAAGAGATCTGTATGCAACTCTAACCAGATTTTAATAAAAAGACAACATAAATTCTTTAGAGAAAAATTTATAGAAGTACATGCAATTTGATTTAGGATCAAAAAATACAGTCCGTGATCCATTTGAAATGGTGCTGATACACAAATTAAGTGTGCACTGGCTATGCTAATGACAGAGTCACCAGCACTGAAGCGCGTCACTGGTATTGAGTGAGTGAAGACTCCTACCTGTGCCAGCTAGTGGAAAGGCAGCTCTTAAACCTTCCCTGTTGAGTTTAATATTAAAATGAGTTGGGTAAAAACAATATTAAGAGAAAATAAAATATAAAAAGAATGAAAGACCAGATATACAAACCGCGGGATGATCTTTGCCCAAAGTTTTTTCACGGATGGCCAAGGCATCATTCAGTAGATTAGCTGCATCTTTGTATTTATTCTGGTCTCTAAATTGAAAAACATACATTAAGCTTTTTAGATGTAGCTTACTGTATCTTTTTAAAATGTAATTTTGGAACTACAGAAATAAAAGTTATGCTTCAACTATTTAAAAAATAAAAGTCAGCTACTAAAACTATTAAAAACACCTCTAGTGTAGAAGCAAAAGACTCCGTCAATAAATGTATTGGCAAGGTGAGCCGGAAGCAGACCTCATTAGCTTTGAACCTGGCCCTCCCATCTAGATCACTGAGACAATACTGCCCCCACACTGCAGTGTTGTCCTGCACATGCCAGCTGCCCCACACAGAATAAGTGACGCAGTCCAGAACAGTGGACCGAGCTTCGTATGGTATCAGATGGAACCGATTCCAGCGTCTGAGCCTGGGCTCTGCCAGTTAATGGCTATGTGGCTTTGGGACTTTAAGCAGCCTCCTGCAGTTCCAGTCAGCCCATCTATAAAGTATATTACCTAACTCACAGAGTTGCTGTAAAAAGCTAATGATATACTATGCGTATACTGAAAAAGCCTTGTTAAAAATACATACAATACATTGTAGTAGTGTCTTAATTTGGTATACAGTTTGCTACCACTTTCTTGAGTAAGGAGGAATGAGGATCTTTTTTGACTGTGGTAAGATAGAAACACCACCAGCCCAGCTCCCCTTGGTTTAAGTGCTAACTGACGATGTAATTGCAAATGAGTTATTTGCTTTGTGACATTTAGTACACATATTTCTCAACTGAGTAATAAGAGCTGCACAAGGCTTTACCCTGCAGAAGCCAGACTGCCCTACAGAACATGGAAAGTGTTAATAAGGCTTCTAGAACCTCTGAAGCACACTAATTCTGACCAAGTATATTGAGTTTTTTCCTTCATCATCCTATTACCCATTATAAACTGGCTCTAACTTTTTGTGAAAGTCAGCAAGTAGGAAATAAAGTTTCAAAAACCAGTAGACACTGAAAAACAATAACAACCACAACTACCTAAGGGTGTTGTGACAGTTAGGTGAGACAACTTATACCGAGTGCTTTCATAAACTATGACATGTCATAAAATGTCAGGGACTAGTCATGAGCCAATATCAGCCATCAGCCAAGGTCACACCAAGAGTCAGAGCACCGGTTCTCAGCAGCGGCCCAAAACTGACAGCAATCCATCTCAGCTGGAACTTGCTATAAACCTGCCCGACCAACCCCTGACCTGCGGAATCAGAAACTCTAGGGGTGGGGCCCAGCACTCCTATAACAAGCCTACCAGGAAATTCAAACTCAAACTGAAAACAAAAGTATACCACCATAAGCATTAAAATCCTAATAGAGGGGCTGGCCTGGTGGCGTAGCAGTTAAGTGCGCACGCTCCGCTGCAGTGCCCCGGGTTTCAGATCCCGGGCGCACACCGACACACAATGCTTGTCAAGCCATGCTATGGCGGCGTCCCATATAAAGTGGAGGAAGATGGGCACGTATGTCAGCCCAGGGCCAGTCTTCCTGAGCAAAAAGGGGAGGATTGGCGACAGATGTTAGCTCAGCGCTAATCTTCCTCACAAAAAAAAAAAAAGAAATCCTAATAGAAAAAGGGCGAGATAACAGACCATTCACAAAAGGACAAACAAAAAATATATAATCAAAGAAATACAAATTAAAACACAATGCTGCACTTCTCCATTAATAAAGAGTGCAAGATGACCAATACTGCCCCAGGTTGGTGACAGTGTAGCAGGAGTGAGGACTGCCACCATCTCCCTAAAAAGCAGTTTGGCAATATGTACCAAGAATTGTAAAATGTTTATATTCTAACCCATTTTAGGAATTGAGCCTAAAAAAAAAAAAAATCCAAAATCTTGAACAAAACTTAGAAAGATGTTCATCAGTATAATATTGATGGCCCCCATAAAGCTTACAATTAAATGTCCCTTAATACAAGAATGATGAAATAATGAGTTACGGTACAGCTGTAGGATGCAATATTGAATATGAACATGAATATCTATGTAGCTACTAATTTTTTCTCAAACTTTTTACTGACTGAGTAAACTCTCATGCTACAGCGTTAAGGACAAACACAAGATTGAAGAGAGGTCACCGACATCCCAGCACCCAACACAGTGATAAGTGTACCACCACGCTTGCTTAGGTACAACAAAAACCCAGGTATGTTCTACGTGTGTTTTTTATTTAACTCATTTATAATATGAGTATTTACTGTTAGCCAGAAACTCTCATGTTGTTAGTAGGCATACAATTTTTTTTTTTAATTTTTGGAATGAAATTTAGCATAATCTATCAAGATTTTAAATGCAAATACCTGTGACTAAGGAATTCCTACAATCATAACAGTAAAAACTTGCAAACAACCTAAGTGTCCATCAACAGGAAAACAGTGAAAAAATTTCAGGAATATCCCTACAGAGTACTATGCAGTCACGAAAAGACTGTGCTGCCAACAAAGTGCAGAGCTGCAGAGCATGATCTCATTTTAATAAGCGTTAAGGGTGCTTACTTTCTTTTACTGTGTGTCTTTTTTTTAAGAAATTACTTCCATGGTTGTAGTATACCCTTTCTCTTCATGGAGCCATTATCTCTCCTTTCCCTCTACATTGTCCCTATCCTTGCTCAGGTTCCCATCTCCATACCCCCAAGACCCTTTGCAAGCCTCCTGACTGGCCGCCCTGACTCCAGGCTCCGGCCTCCACTCTGTCCTGTGCATCATACCAAAGTTAACTCCTAAGACCCAACTCGGAGCCCACTGTTGCCCACAGGCACCCTCAGCACAGCCCGAGAAGCCTCTCTGATCAGGCCCAGCCCCTTCCAGCCCCACCTCTTACTGCTCTTCAGGCGTCACTGAGCTTTTCCAAACTGGATTCAGGAGTATGCTCCAAAACACCCAACGCCCTTCCCATCTCCACTACCAAAAATCCTAGCCACCCTTCAAGGCCCCGGAAAGTGCTCCCACGCCTCCATTTATCCTTCTCTAAGTCCCTCAGCTAGAAGGAATCTTTCTGTTCCATGAACGCTTCTGTGTTATTTTATTAACGCCACCACAGGGCCGGCCCCGTGGCTTAGCGGTTAAGTGCACGCGCTCCGCTGCTGGCGGCCCGGGTTCGGATCCCGGGCGCACACCGACGTACCACTTCTCCAGCCATGCTGAGGCCGCGTCCCACATACAGCAACTAGAAGGATGTGCAGCTATGACATACAACTATCTACTGGGGCTTTGGGGGAAAAAATAAATAAATAAATAAAATTAAAAATAATAATAAATAAATTAAAAAAAACACCACCACAGTCTCCCTGCTTCTGTAATTACATATGAATGTAAAGAGCCTATTTTCTAAACAGGCTTATAAGTTTCTTTAGAAACAGATTTAGATAATGCTGTTTGAATATCTCACGTCTACCAGGTAATACCATGTGTCACATCCCCTACAATCCTTCCCTTGGCCCTCTCAGTGGGTATTATAACACCTCCATTTTAGATATGAGGAAACTGAGTCTCAGAAAAGTTAAGGGCTCTGAAAAACCACCTGTGTCTAGTGCCCATTTAGCAGAGATACAAACTGAATTCTCCTGACTTCAAGTTCAGTGTTGTGGTTTCTCCTTGAGAACAGGAATTATGTATTCCTCTTTAGGGCCTCATAGAACCTGCCTAAAGTCATACATATACTTGAGTCTCAAAAAATGTTTGTTGAACTGAAACAATCAAACCAATGAAGAGAAATGAAGCAGTTAACTAAAACCCACAAAACTGGAAAGGCCACAGTAAACCAATCCCACTGTGTGAATTATTTCTCCCTCCTCAGCTACTCACCGTGATCTGCTCACTATGATCGCTCTCTTTCAGGTTAGTTCAGCTGAAGACACGAGCAACATAACATTTCCTGATGCCATGAGGGCAAACTAAATCCATTCAACATGTTTACAAAGGGCTTCTATGGTAGGAAACACGCTACAGTAATATGAGAGGCAGAGACACAAAGATAACCTGGTCCTCAACCTAAAGGAGTCAATATTCCAGGAGAAGACGGAACAAAATTCAAACAACCCGATGCCCAGCATAATGAGCAAGTGCCATAAGAGGCAGAGATAAAGGGTTATGAGGGTACAACAGGGGCAAGGGGCAAGTGGAAGCCTGAATTCACAAAGGAAAGAGCACTAACAAGGCCCTAGAAAGGTGGGAAGGCTGCAGGCAGGCATAGTGGGAAAGCTATTCTGGACAAGAGAAACTTAGTGCACAGAGTCTTGTGGAAAAAAATCACGAGTTTAGTCTGGCCAGAGAGAAGGGTGTGTGTGGGCTCCTCTAGAAAGGCTGAATGAAGGGCTTCCAAGAAGCGTCTGTCCCACCAGGTGATGCCCTGGCCATAGAGCTTGCTAAATATTTTGAATTTAACCCCCGACTGTTTGAAGAGAACTGGATAATAAGACTTGAAAAGTAGCTTATACAGGTTTATAAAAATATACTTTAAGAGTTAGCTCTTTAAAAATATCGTCTCTAGGTAAAATTAAGAGGATAACATGAAAACTACTAGCCTGTACACCAAGGCCAGAATATTCAGCATGGTGGCCACATCCGGGTGGTCATGGCCAGAAGTCTTCTCCAGGTCCTCCAGGGCCTGCTTGCAGAGGGGCACGGCAACCTCATAGCGCCCCTGCGAGGCATACTGGATGACCAGGTTGTGGAGGGTGCGCAGCCGCGCCGGGATCTCGTAGCCACCCTGCTGGGCGGCCGCTGCTGCACTGCTGTGCTGCTGCTGGACTACAAAGAGAAAGTTTCACTTCAGACATGTTTAGAGAAAATTATCCAGATGACATCATTTAATTAAATTTTTCTTCTCTAGCTTTGGTCCAGATCGGCACGTGGCCCCCACACTACAGAAACCTGTCCAGAACTCCCTAGGCAAGCAGCATAACAACAGTAACTTGCCGGGGGTCTCGTGAGGCCCCACAACGGTGCAGTGAGACTGCTCTCAGCACCAGGGAAACTCATTCTGCCTTTTTCACTCTGTAAGAATCCACAGACCATGCCTGAACTGTTTGTGCATACCCCTGTCTGCCAGGGGCTGGTCTAACTTATTACTATATACCAACAAGAAAACCACTGGAAATACTTTTGAGAAACACAAGGCAATCTGAGTGCTCCTGCAAGGCAGGCTGTATCCACTAAGATGCCCCTAATTATGACAATTATATCCCAAGAGGACAAACCACCTTATTTGTATGCTGCATTTAACCACTACTCCCCTCACTTACTTCCTTGACCAGGGTCGTCATCGTCATTTGGAAAAAGGTCATCCAGAGGTTCTTTGGTGGAATCAGTGTCTTTGTCCTCCTAAAAACCAACCCAGGACAATCTTAGTCTTACGAATACTATAAATCCTGTACTGGATGTCTTTGATATAAATTTCATTTTAATTAAAAATCTGAGAAAAGATGGTCCGGGGACCGGCATAGCGGTTAAGTGCGTGCACTGCGCCTCGGTGGCCCGGGGTTCGCAGGTTCAGATCCCAGGCGCGCACCGATGCATCGCTTGTCAAGCCAAGCCGTGGCGGCGTCCCATATAAAGTAGAGGAAGATGGGCACAGATGTTAGCTCAAGGCTAATTTTCCTCACAAAAAAAAGAAAAGATGGTCCGTTTTTAAGATTAAATAAAGTATTATCCACAATTTGGCTTATCCATCAATTTAGAGAGTAATAAAAAGCTTGCTAGACTAGAATTCAAAATACTAAATGCAGGCCAGGGTGGCAAGACAAACCCTGATGGCCTCTCTATGCCTTAGATTCTTCACCTGTGTTCTGAGGAAGTTCAAATAGAGCAGGGAAATCCTTAATAAAAATAAATTGTATTTCGAAACCAAATATGTAAAAACAGATTAAAATGGTGCATCTCTGAACGCCACAGAACTGTAGATTCCCCCCTCTCCCCAACCACCAGCTCTACCGCAAGACAGCTTTAAAAGTCTGTGACTCACGTCTCCCCCACAGATCGCTGATTAGTGCAGGGGTAAAAATAGTGACTACACAATGGAGAAAACAGATAACAGCTTGACCAGGTGAGAGATTAGCTTCGCCCTGGGGTTTGCCTCTGGAAGGGATAATCTGAGAAGTACACATGGTCATTCTTGTAATATTCCTATCTAGGATGCATAATCCGAATATACTCACAAAGAAACATTAGACAAACCCAAACTGAGGAATGATCGAGGAAGCAACTGGCCTGTACTCTTCAAAAATATCAATGTCATAAAAGAGCAAGACTTTTTTTCTTTCTTTGGAAAGGACCTGTTCCAGGTGAAAGATGATGACTAAAGAGACAAGACAACTATGTGCAGTATGTGATCTTGAACTGGATCCTCAAATGCAGTGAAAAAAATGCTATGAAGAATTATATTGAGACAGTTAGCAAAAGTGCACATGGACTGCAGAGTAGATGAAGCACTGTGCCCTGTTAAATTTCCTGAATCTGACCCTGGCCCTGGATTCCACAGAAGAATGTCCTCATGCTAGGGAAATGCACCCAGCTGCAGTAGGGGAAAGTGGCATGAGGTATGCCACCTACTCTAACGTGGTTCAGAAGAAATAATCACTCACATGTACACCCTGAAAGGGGAGGCAGAGTTAGCTCATTCTATCTCTTCTCCAAGCTAGACATTTTTTCAAAATAAAGAGTTTTGTAAGTTTCTGATTCTACGAAATCAGCTTCCCCTGCTCAGTTATCCAGTATTCCAGGTGAATCACTGGCTGATCAACATGTCCATTCTTATCCCCACAGGAACCTACGGCAGTATATCTTTTAAATCCAAACAATTAGCGGCATCTGCTCTAAAGATGCAAGAGAGAAATACAGTAAGCCTAATAAAACAGGGTGCTATAGACTAACTGTGGCCCCCAAAAATCATATGTTGAAGCCCTAACCCCCAATGTGATGGTGTCTGGAGATGGGGTTTTTGGGAGGGAATTAGGTTTAGACGAGATCTTGAGGGTGAGGCCCTCATGATGGGATTAGTGCCCCAATAAGAGACACCAGAGAGCAAGCTCTCTTTCCCCACCCCACCCGCCGTGTGAGGACACAGCAAAAAGGCGACTGCCTGCAAGCCAAGAGAATCCTCACCAGAAACCAACCACGCTGACATCCTGATTTCAGACTTCCAGCCTCCAGAACTGTGAGAAAATAACTGTCTGTTAAGCCACCCAGTCTATGGTATTTTGCTATGGCAGTCCGAGCTGACTAAGATACAGGGTAGGTGTAGGTTCGCTGGTACAATGCACAAGACTAAACCAATAGTCTTAGGATGAGGGTTTGGATTGGAGACACAAATGTGGAACTCACTGGTATGTAGATTATGTAGTGAACACGCCTAGCACCATGTAGGCATTAAAAAAATGTTAGCTCAAAATGCAATGTGGACTCCTGGATCGGATCCTAGAACAGAAAAGGGCCACTAGTGGAAGGACTGATGAAACCCAAATAAAGGCTGTAGTTTAGTTAATAGTAATGTAGCAATGTTAAATTCTTAGTTTTAACATATATACTGCTATGAACTGAATGTTTGTGTACCCCCAAAATTCATATGTTGAAGCCCTAACTCTCAACGTGATGGTATTTGGAGGTGGGGCCTTTAGGAAGTAATTTGGGTTGGATGAGGTCATGAGGATGGGGCCACCACAATGGGATTAGTGTCCTTATGCTAGATCTCTCTCTCTCTCTCTTCATGGACCAAGGAAGACCACGTGAGGACACAACCAGCAAGGAGGCCCTCACCAAGAACCCGACCAACCAGGCTGACACCCTGATCTTAGACTGCCAGCCTCCAGACTGTGAGAAATAAATGTCTGTTTTTTTAGGCCATGCAGCCTATGGTATCCTGTTACAGTGGCTCAAGTTGACTAAGACATGTACTATGGTGATATAAGATGTAAGTAACACTAGTGGAAACTGGGTGAAGGGTATATGGGAATTCTCTTTACTATCTTTTCAGCTATTCTGTGAATCTAAAATTATTCCAAAATAAAAAAAGTTATTTTAAGAAACAAGTTAAGCAAATCAGAAATAAATGATGAATGAAAAATAATTGAGACTGGGATGAACATCCAAAAAAAGCCAACAGAAAAAGGAAAAAAACCAAGGTCCTTGGGGAGTCCCAACATTACAGGAACCACAAGATAAGCTGGTAAGAGAGCCCAAGAAGGAGGCACAAGCGAGGTAGCAGGAGAACCAAGTGGTGTGCTGGGGGCAGGGAAAAACGAGTTTCAAAGAGAAAGTCAAGATCCACAGCATCACAAACTACACAGTTAGTCCGGAGTCTGGATTATAGATGATCGGATTGGGTCACTGTTGACCTGAAGGAAAAGAGTTCCAGCAGCACGATGGGCATGGAAGCCAGACTGCAATGGGTTAGATGTGCAGGAGATCTCAAGCTGGGGCAAACCTTGCTGAAGATAATGGTGCCTCTTTGCATTGTACCTTATATTTACAAAGTATTTTTACACTTTCTGACCATTTTCTAAAAAACACACATGAAAAGAACATGGCAAAGAGAACTTATACGACTTGCCCAGGGACTCAGTCCCAAGACCCACAATCCTTGGTCTTACTAAGTGCAATCACTGGAGGGGAGAGGAAAACAATGACAGCTTTACTGAAACAATCTACCAAATGTAACATGGTAATTGTCAATCCCGCATTCCTACAGAACCACTTACGGATGGAGAAATGTCATCATCATATTTTTTTAACTGATTCATGAATTCCAGATGCTTCTTTTCTTCCTCCAGTTGAGCCACAGACTGCTCACTCTTCTGTAATTTCTGCTGCGTGTTGGCCAATTCATCTCGCAGCCACTGATTCTCCTGGCACAGACGACGAACCTGTGCACGCAGTTTCTGTTTCTCTGACTCAACGGCATTCAGGTGATTTGACAAAGCCATCATAACCTAGACAGACAGAAACGTTTACAGCACTGCAGTATTCTGTCCAACAAACATTACCACCCATCTATGCAAACATTCTGTGGTTGCAGCTCTAGCTTACATTTGCAGATACGTTCTCCAAAGTACATGTAACTACAATTGGCCATCTACTTCTATTTTCACCCATCAGTCACAGGCTACATTAACGGGGCATGATAAAGAATATCACATGCTCATAATATCTACAAAAAATATACATTTTTTTTTTCCTATTTGAGAGTACCATGTCACATGGAGTAGCGATGGACACACAGCTACTCTTCTGACAAAACTCTATTTTTTTACTTCCTATCTAGACGGGTCCAACATAATTTCTCATAGACCCATCTTCCACGTGTGACAGCGTGTGCACATGCAGGCACCTGTGTACAGAGTGCAGGTCACTCTGTGAGGGGTTGGTGGTGGAGTTGGGGAAGGGAAGGCAGACAAATCTTCTTCTGTCTTCCAAGGTAAGAGAGGAAATCTTTGTAGCTAACACTCAGAGTCAGAACGCACTGATGCATTCATCAACTTAGGTTCACATCATAAAATCTGGTGGCTGCCCCAGGACTCTACCTGTATGCACCAATTAGCTGGACGCTACCTGTACGCACCAATTAGCTGCAGGGACAGACCTGCCTGAGCCCACAGCAAGTTCCTGAGAGTATAAGAGCACAACGAGTTGCGGGGAAAAGCTGGTTTTATTCTCTTCTCTCTTTAGACCATATACCTGTCCTTCCCTCTTTATTACCCTCCTAGGTGTAAAACCTGAAACTCCAGAAGGTGGGACTTTTTCTTCCTTCTTTTTTAACCCTAATATCTGCCAAACTAAAAAAGGAAGTTCATATTCATATTGCTTTTCAACAACAGAACTTGCAAAATAACAGATTCGTCATAACCAAAGTCAAAGTCAAAGTTCTACAATTAGAGTCTGTAACATGGTTAGGATGAAGAACTCTGAAACCAGGGTACGGACAGTCACTCTGGTACAGAATGATTTCCTGAGTGAAAGCAGAAATTGGTAATCCGGCAGCCCCACTTCTGCTTCATTCATTCACTATACAAGAAGAAAGCTAAGAAAGAAAGAAGCTGATTTTTAGTGTATTTAATTTTACCTAAAATATGTTGGCAGAGCCAAAGGTTATTGGGAAGTTGGAGACACCTAGATGTTTCCAATTTTTTCATCTCTATGTCTAGCATGATAGAAACAAAGGTTTAGTCAAGTACATAAAGCAATCTTGTCTCGGGGTATTGCAGAGACTATTAGCTGTTGGCCAATATTCATTCTCCCTTCTTCCTTAGGCTTAAGAACCCAGAACTTTCAGGGGGCAAGACAACATTCCCCAGTCTCCTCACAACTAGGTATGTCCATGGAACCAGCTCTGGCCAAAGAAATGTAAGCAGAGGGCCGGCCCCGTGGCTTAGCGGTTAAGTGCATGCGCTCCGCTGCTGGTGGCCCGGGTTTGGATCCTGGGCGCGCACCGACGCACTGCTTCTCTGGCCATGCTGAGGCCGCGTCCCACATACAGCAACTAGAAGGATGGGCAGCTATGACATACAACTATCTACTGGGGCTTTGGGGGAAAATAAATAAATAAATAAATAAATAAAATTATTAAAAAAAAAAAAAGAAATGTAAGCAGAGTGTTGTGCACAAGTTCGAGGAAGTAAAGGGAGGAGGCATGCCCTTCCTGTCCCTTCCCTGTCATAGAACCAGGTCACATGGTTGCAGCTGGAGCTCTGTCTAAGTTCACGAGCTGAGGTGTAGCGCACCCGGTGGCAGGGGCTTGGGTATCCCCGACAACCATGCAGCTACAGAACCTGTCCGTAGGTAGGGACAGCCTAGCTCAGTATTTGTTTTACACACAGCTATGATGTTTAAGCCCCTGTTGTTTGTTTTTGATATATACAGCCAAATCAAATCCTAACGCCACACAGGGATACCTCTATTTTGGCTCTGCTTTTTAAAATTTAGACATGCCCAAATCAATCATCATTTCCATAACATACAGAACACACATATAAGCTCATCTCTGTTTTTCTTTAAGTATCTTCTCTCTAGTTTAATTAAACTGCATATTTCAAATGAAGTCTCCATTTTTGCAGACTGTCAAGTTCGTGTTCATGTCTGAGACAATCTCACTTATACCTGTGCCTCACTCAGGCCAAGCTCCAACATTTCCAGTGACTTTCGGATCATGTTTGATTTTTCCTCCACCAGATTACTTTCATCATCTTTCTTCAAACACTTCAGTGTCTCAAGTAAACTTTGTAAAATGGAATTGTGCTCATTCTTCAGAGCTTCCAGCCCCTGAATTACTTGCTTTGTCTTAGAAATAATTTCATCCTGCGTAAGCTTCTCCAACTTGTCTTCCTTTATATACACCATTGTGGACATGCTGTCATACATTCTAGAATGGAAAAAGGAAAAAAATTAGACATCTCATTACAGGTTTAATTTACGTTACATCTTTAATAAAATACACAAGTGAAGACTTTTAAATTAATGTTTTTATAAGTGAATAATAAATGTGTATTTGTGATTTATTACCATGAAATACTATATTCTGTACTATTTCTGTTTTTCCTTTGCAGACCAATTTAATTACTTTCCTGGCTTATGTCTCAATTCTTTTTTATGGAAGAAATGACAGCAATTGAAATTAATGCCAATGATTAAAAGCAGCAAAACATCCAAACGGCATTTCCAAAACACATAGCATCAGTGAACAAAATTTTCTCTGAATGTTTGCAAGCTTTTTTTTTCCTTGATGAAATGCAGAAGGGACAGTAAATTTTTGGTGACATATTTACCAGAGAAGTGAGAAGTGGTCACAGTCGGAAGAAGAAAGAAAACCAGCAAAGGCACAGGGGAACAATCAGAGTAGCCGGAAAAGGACTAGATCCGTCTGAAACACGGTAAAAAAGGGACATGAGTGAGCAGGGTAATCAATGCCAGACAGACTCAGGGACAAGGGTGAAGCGTGCCTACTGGAGTAGACTGGCCGAGAGACCACCAGGAAGAAATCACACAGTGTCTGGAACTGGCTCCAAAATACTACAGTGAGGGCCGGCCGCGTGGCTTAGCGGTTAAGTGCGCGCACTCCACTGCCAGCGGCCCGGGTTCAGATCCTGGGCGCACACTGGCACACTGCTTCTCCAGCCATTCTGAGGCCGCGTCCCACATACAGCAACTAGAAGGATGTGCAGCTATGACATACAACTATCTACAGGGGCTTTGGGGGGGAAATAAATAAATAAAAATTAAAAAAATAAAATAAAATACTACAGTGAGAATGAACAAGGACAGGGGAAAGGGGCATATGAAACAGTATTGGCTGATGACTGCTGAAGCTGAGCAACAGCTCTTTTACTATCCTCTCTAGTTTTGTGTATGTTTTTAAATCCCATAATTAAGTTTAAAAAAAGAAAAAGGATAATTAAGAAAGCCTGTTCAGGAGAGTGACAGGGATGGAAGTCAGATTATACGTCAGCGTGATTTCCCTCAGAGCGCTTACCACTACCTGAAATCTTCCTTGTTTTATTGTCTTATATCCCCTTGAATATAAGCTCTATCTAAAAGGCAGGGACTTGATCTTGTACTCCACTGAATCCACAGTACCTAGGACTGCTCCTGACCCCTCACAGACCAGCTGGTGAATGGATGGACTGATAAAACGCTGGATGAAGGTAAGCAGTGTTGAAGCAGCAGATAAAGACTACACATTCCAGGATTTGGGGTGAAGGCTACAAGTAGTTGATGACAGGGTTATGTTAGTCCCTGTGCCCCCAGTTTCACACTGGAAAACTGATTTTTTTCAGATAAATATGAAGACTAAATTCCTTTGGAAATTTAGAAGCTGTCTGTAGGACTATTTAGAAATCCACCTCCATACCACAAAGAGCCCAGAAAACAACAAAAGACAGGGGCAACTCCTCCACCTAACAGTCTGTATTATTATTAGATGTGTTATCTATTTATTCAGCTTGTGGAGTTCCAACTCCACTGAAACTTGAGGAGAACAGGGACCTCATTTTTCCTGTTCAGCACTACATTCCCAGCCTGTCACACAGTAAATGCTAAATACATATTTGCTGAATGAATGAACAAAATACTTTAGGACCAGCTTCCAATGAACAGGATTCAACACCATTAGATTAAAGTGCTGATCTGAGCACTGCTTAAGGTTCCTACAAGTGATGGGGAGGGATCTCCAAAACTGGTATCCCTAAAGAAACAGGAAAATAAAAATAAAGGCTTCCTTCTCCACCTTTGGCAGAGAAGCATTTATGTATTATTTCCAGATGATGCAACGTTTGTTCTTTTCTTTCAACTTCATTACTCAAACCACCTCTAGAAAATAAAAGCTCTTGGGGCATGAATGGACAGTAAATTACATCTACCTAACATTAAATCCTGTCCAATTATAAAGATGGTCAGTGGGATACCTCTACAGGTTATAGTGGTGGCTGAAAAGAAGGGAAGAGAGGGCAATTCTGTTTATGTAAAGGAAGAAAACGGGGCAAGGGGCCGAGGGTTTAAATAGGAATAAGAGGGTTTAAATAGGACTAGAAAACCATAAAAGGTAGGACTTATGTGCAGGGAAAAAAATCAAAACCAAATAAGAGGGGCCGGCCCCGTGGCTTGGCGGTTAAGTGCGCGCGCTCCACTACTGGAGGCCCAGGTTCGGATCCCGGGTGCACACCGATGCACCGCTTGTCCAGCCATGCTGAGGCGGCATCCCACGTACACCAACTGGCAGGATGTGCAACTATGACATACAACTGTCTACTGGGGCCTTGGGGAGAAAAAGGGGAAAAAAAGGAGGAGGACTGGCAACAGATGTTAGCTCAGGGCTGGTCTTCCTCAGCAAAAAAAGAGGAGGATTGGCATAGATGTTAGCTCAGCGCTGATCTTCCTCACAAAAAAAGAAAAAAAAAAAGAGAAATACAGTCACTTTAATTGAGGGGATGCCTCAATTAAGTAAATATATTTAAAGAAATCCAATTTTAGGCGCCAGCCTGGTGGCGTACTGGTTAAGTTTGTGTGCTCCGCTTCAGAGGCCCACGGTTCGGATCCGGGTGCAGACCTACACACCACTCATCAAGCCATGCTGTGGCAGCATCCCATACACAAAAGAGAGGAAGACTGGCACGGATGTTAGCTCAGGGCCAATCTTCCTCACCAAAAACACAAGAGAAAAAGAAATCCAATTTTAATTCCTAAAGGAATATGTAACAAAACTGGTGAGAGTAATACATATTTACACACTCTTTTTTTTTTTTTAATTTTATTTATTTATTTTTTCCCCCAAAGCCACAGTAGATAGTTGTCTGTCATAGCTGCACATCCTTCTAGTTGCTGTATGTGGGACACGGCCTCAGCATGGCCGGAGAAGCGGTGCGTTGGTGCGCGCCTGGGATCCGAACCTGGGCCGCCAGTAGCGGAGCGCGTGCACTTAACCGCTAAGCCACAGGGCCGGCCCTACACACTCTTGTAAAGGCTTTAACCAGAGACAAGAATAATGAATACAGATGTTGTCTGGATGTGCACAAAAAAAGCCACTTACGGTAGTTTGTCGTTTGTTTTTTTTTTAACTTACTCTTAGAAAATTAATGAGAATCCAAATGCTCTGGGGGGCACCTAGCTCTCTTGAGAAATGAGACGACAGGTGTTATGGACAGAATGGACTCTAAATTCAGAGTGACCATGTGCAGAGCCTGGCTCTGCCATCGGCCACCACTGCGGCACGAGGTAAGGCCCCAAACTTCCCTGAGTCTCAGTGGTCAGCAGCCCTCCCTCAGTGCAGGGCTGTTATGAGCACGGGCGAGTACAGGTGAGGCAACAGACACAGTGGCTAACAGGCACATAGGAGCCACCCAGTAATCAGTAATCAGTGGAGCTAAGGAATGAGGAACATCCCTGATAAAGGACCACTCAAGATCTGCACACACACTTCCTACAACACAGGCCTCACTACTTTGCAAGACAAGTCGGTTCCTTGTTAGCCTGCTCCAATATTTAGTTAGAAAGTGATTCCTTTTGCTGAGTTGATATCTCCTTCCTTGTAACTTCTACCCACTGAGCCAATTTCTTCCCTCTAAAATAAACACAAAATATATTTACTATCTCATCCACAAAACAACATTTCAAATATTGTATTATAGGCCTAGAGCTCTCCAAATCTTTCATTTCCCAAACTCACACCTCATGCTACCCTCAGGCACTGCTCAATCATAACAGTTTCCGTATCTCCCACCCAAGTCACCATCATATAAAAATACCCATACATGCCACTTCTTTAGAGGAAAACACACAGTGGCATATATATTTATACTGCTCAATATTTCTCTTATTTCTAAACTAGGCCATTATAACCAAAGGTGGGTTATATAAAAATAGTGCTAAGGCAACCAGCTATTTAGAAAAAAACTAAAGTTGCATTCCTACCCTCCCTATACACTAAAATAAATTACATAGTGATTAAAGAATTAAATGTTTAAAAAAAACACAAGTAACTAGAAGAAAATTCAGGCAAAGGTCTATATGCATATAGGCAAAGATAAAAAGCATTCCATGAATAAAATGGCAGAAAACTAAAAGAAAAGACTGGTAAAAGTTTACGTAAAATAAGAAACTTCTGGGGCCTGCCCGGTGGCATAGCAGTTAAGTTTGTGCGCTCCGCCTTGGCGGCACGCAGTTCGCAGGTTCAGATCCCGGGCGCGGACCTACGCACTGCTTGTCAAGCCATGCTGTGGTGGGCAACACACATATAAAATAGAGGGAAAGGGGCATAGCTGTTAGCTCAGGACCAATCTTCCTCAGGAAAAAGAGGAGGACTGGCAACAGATGTTAGCTCAGGGCTGATCTTCCTCATCAAAAAAATAAAATAAGAAACTTCTAAAGTGTGATGTAGAAACTAAATACATTTCTTGGGGCCGGCCCTGTGGCTTAGCAGTTAAGTGCGCGCGCTCTGCTGCTGGCGGCCTGGGTTCGGATTCCGGGCGCGCACCGACGCACTGCTTCTCCAGCCATGCTGAGGCAGCATCCCACATACAGCAACTAGAAGGATGTGCAGCTATGACATACAACTATCTACTGGGACTTTGGGGGAAAAATAAATAAATAAATAAAATTAAAAAAAAAAAAAAAGAAACTAAATACATTTCTGAGGGAACACTATTTTGCAGCCCATCACAGTGAAGAGCTCAAAAGTACCCAGGCCCCTAGCTTAAAGGGTTAAGGTAGAGGTTACATTGATTTCTAAAGGTAAAAATACTGGGAGTCTAGGTCAACTCAAACATCATACTTTATCAGCCTATAAATCACACTATCCCTAAGACCTTCTTCCAGCTCTTATGCTGTGTATGCCCTGAGGTGACTCAGTGGAACACTGAAGCAGCCAGAACA